CTTTTTGCCCAGTTTATCATTATGGTTTTTTTAAAAAAAAATTGATCAAGTGAAACTGCAACTATGAGAAAAAACTAAAACTTATATTGCACTGAAAATTGAAGCTTCTATATGCACTACCAGTAGATTTTGAGCTTGTTCCTTTATTTGTATACAAAATTATGTCTCTTCATTTAAATCAAAATGTCAAGTGCATACATGCGCAAAGAGTCAGTTTCCATTCCATGTTGTGAATCTATCTGGCCTTAATCCTGCATAAGCTTGTAAGATCCTGGTAGAATTTCTGCTGTCATTATCTATCCACATTATCAACTATTATTTCTTTGCCATTCTAGCCGTTGCTACTCTGATTTGTACCACTTTGCTAACTTATCTTTGTGTGCTGTCCATGAATAATTTGACTGATCATGTCCATGTCCATGTCTATTGCGATGACCTTAGTTGTAACATCCCGGCCCAGGGCTTAATAGGATTAATAGAATACTCATATCAACAAGTTACAACTTTTTTTCTAGAAGCCGATCTCTAAAGAACTATAAGGTTAAGCGTGCTTGGCTTGGAGCAATTTAGGGATGGGTGGCCGATCGGGAAATTCTTCCTAACTGCGCACGAGTGAGGAGACGTTACACAAAAACATGCATGAAATTCTTCCCGAGTGCGCACGAGTGATCTTGTATTGGTCTATGAGGGAAGTCTATGACCTATGAAGTGCGCACGAGTGAGGAGACGTTAGACAAAAACATGCATGAAATTCGAAATTCTTCCCGGGTGCGCACGAGTGAGGAGACGTTAGACAAAAACATGTATGAAATTCTTCCTGAGTGCGCACGAGTGATCTTGTGTTAGTGAGAGCAGTCTATGACCTATGAAAGCTACCAGATGTAAGTGGGCCTAGCCTAGGAGAGCTGGGACGTTACACAAAAACTTAATGTGCAGAAAAAACTTGTGTTGGTCTGTGAGGATAGTCTATGACCTATGAAAGCTACCAGATGTAAGTGGGCCCAGCCTAGGAGAGGCGGGACGTTAAACAAAAACATGCATGGAAAAGTAAGCCCCTGTTTGATTCAGCTTAGGAATATTATAATCTAGATTATTAGTAGTAAGCTGAAACAAACAAGTAGATTATTATGCTGGATTATTATAATCTATAAGCCAGATAGTATAATCTAATAATCTCCTCTAAAGGAGCTTTTTTCATATTATTGAGTGGCTAAAGGCCCACTACAATTAGATGCCTCAAATAATCCAGAGAAACAAACAACTCGCAGCTTATTTTATGTCAGCTTATTATAATCCACCTTAGAGTAATCTGATTTAATAATCTAGATTACAGTAATCTACTAATCTTAAGCTGAAACAAACAGGGCCACGGTCATCCAGCTAACTATATATTGTACGCCATCGTGCAAGGCCACCACCACCACCTGCCCTATGCCAATGCATTATTGGGCCTGGCCTAGGAGAGGCAGGACGTTACACAAAAACATGCATGGAAAAGTAAGAACGGTCATCCAACTAACTATATATTGTACGCCATCCTGCAAGGCCACCACCACCACCTGCCCTATGCCAATGCATTATTGCTTCCGTCATGATTCTTGCTACCAGCACCTAGGATTGCATAGCCTGACCTCTGAATATTAGAGCATTGCTGCATTCCACAAACTCCAATTGGTCAGAGAATAACCAATATGAATGCATTTCTATCTCCTTATGCTAGATTTATTGCTGCATTCCACAAACTCCAATTGGTCAGAGAATAACAATATGAATGCATTTCTATCTCCTTATGCTAGATTTGTCTAGCTATGCAAAGTTAGTCACCATGCGGTGCGACTAAATAGTCTTCGGTGGAAGGTGTCTTGGCCGCTACAATAACCAAAACTCCAGAGGACTTTGAACCGTGTTTCCTAGGTCAAAACACAAGTAATCAACATGTGGTTGAGCAGTTTTGGTAGTGTTAACAATAGAATTTGGCATCAGATTCAGAAAAGGAGGAAGAAGATCGAAGCGGATTTGGTGTGAAATCGAGTTGATCTGCGAGTCAGACTGCACATCGGCGGAATGTCGTATCGGCTGAAAACAGAGTATGAAGTTGATCAAAGTTAATGAAGCCGATGGCCGATATAGCCGATATAACATGACTTGGGCTCGGCATGGGCCTAAATTGGGATAACTGCCATTGCCAATTAGAGATAGAGCTTGATTAAGACAATTGTATCTATTAATTAGAATATTGAGTCGGTTTGTTAGAGATTTGGCAAGAGACTGCCTATGTGGTCTTGTTTATATCTTAACTTTAGAAAGGTTTGAGTCGTGTCTATAATGGACTAAGTTTGTACTCGGGATATAATATGAGCCCTATATAGGGGTGGACAGGAAGCTCGTGGCTCGTTAGCTCGCTCGGCTCGTGACAGGTTCGGCTCGTTTGAATTTTCTAACGAGCCGAGCTGGCATTTCAGCTCGTTAGAGATAACGAGCCAGCTCGAGCTGGCTCGCGAGCCGCTCGCGAGCCTTAACGAGCCAAAGCAAATGAGGCCCAGGCGCCCAGCCCAGCCCAACAGCCCATCCCCTTCTCAAAACCCTAGTGAGTGAATCCCCTTCTGGCTTGTCCCCATCCCTAATCCCCACCCAAGCCGCCGCCAGGCGCCAGCCCTCAACGCTACCGCTCCTCCCCGGTGCCGACACCACCGCCCGTGCCTCTCCTCCCCGGCGCTGATGCGGCCAGCCGCCGACGCCGCCGCCCGCGCCGCTCCTCCCCGATGTCGACGCTGCCGCCCGCGCCTCTCCTAGCCGGCGCCGACACCACCGCCCGCGCCTCTCCTCCCCGGCGCCGATGCCGCCGTGGACGCCGTCACCCGCGCCGCTCCTCCCTGGCACTGACGCGGCCAGCCGTGGACGCTGCCGCCCGCGCCGCTCCTCCTAACGACGGCCGCTCCTCCCGACGACGGCCGCTCCTCCCGGCGCCCCTCCTCGGCTCCTCCCCTTGTTTGCTTTCTCTCATCCCCAAAGCCCACGAGCTAAACGAGCTAGCTCGAGCTTGCTGACGAGCCGAGCCGAGCTTGGTTTCTAGCTCGTTAGGATAACGAGCCGAGCCGAGCTAGCTCGTTATCCTAACGAGCCAGACCGAGCCGAGCCGAGCCAGCTCGACATCCAGCCCTAGCCCCCATAGCATTGTAATATGAGAGCAACTCCAATACAACTTCGGCGCATCATCACCCTTTTACTTTTCTCGTTTTCCGACGAGTTCTTCGCAAGAGGTAACCCGTCTCAATGGCCTGTGCTATCGGGGCTAACATGTCGTTTTAGACGTGTTAGGCTCGATATCGCGAGTCATTGCTATCATATGTCTTGCTATATTAGATTAGCTAAGGCATCTACCATCCTGAAAAGTGTCTAATTGCTTGATTGTCTAGACTGCATGTTTCTTTTCATATTTTGAGATGCATCATACCTAGTCATGCTTAGAACCGTGCAATCTAGCCTGCAATTAAGCATAATAAGGATAGTATCGGGGTTTCGGCCGATCTTACCTAATATGCATGTTTCACTCTCCTTGTTTCATGTATATTCGCCACTTATATAGATAGATCTTTTGTATAAGCATATCAAGTTTTAGTCAGTGTCGGTTAGATTCCTACGCCTTCATGCTTGATTTATGTTTGATATGTTTATATGGATCAATCTGCCTATATAAGTTTGTACTAAAGTATTAACTAGTACGTTATCTCTCTTGCTCTAAATACTGTCACATTGGCTACTTTCATAATACCGTTTTAAATCAATCTGTTAAACTCTATAGATAGTATTACAGGCGATTGGGAGTGTTTAGGGTTTATTATTCTTTGACATATCCAGTCCATAGCCGATTTGGTCTAACTATATCGGCTGAGACCATCAACGATATGCTATCGGCCTATCGGCAGATCGGCTATCGGTCAATTGATTCTGCTTTTATTCTTTCTTGCTGATTGCAAGATCAAGGGCTTGTTTGGTTGGTGACCTGACTGACTTGCCTGAGAAAAATCCATGCCTGTGTGGTAGAAAAGCTGTGTTTTATTGTGCCTGATTAGGCATGTGTGATGTTTTGTTGTTTGGTTGAAAACCTACGCCTGAGTGAATATATTATATATAAACATTTTGTTTACTTGAGTAAGATGTTGACAAGTGTTGATAGCAGTCATATCAATGAAGAATCAATGGGGGAGGATTAGACACATACCCACGCCTGACTCAGGCGTTCATTTTTGGTGGCCTGAGTCCGGCACCCTTGCCTGAGCATGGACACCATTCAGGGAAGCAACCAAACACTACTACTTACTGCTCTGGCTAGCTCCAGGCCAGGCAAATACTCGCCAGGGCAGCAACCAAACACGCCCAAAATCAGCTGGCATGTCCTTGAGACACTCGAGGCTAGCCTTGGACCTGCACTGGAGTTAAACAGATCTCCCAGACAGCCGTGTTTTCACACAATGCACACGTCGCATAGTTGGAAAGTCTGTGACTTTGTAATCTTTCCGAATTTCAGACCCGGTTGTGAAGCATCACCAAATGAACAACCTGCATTTGTTGGGCCCCCTTTCTAGCATTCCTTCGTACCAAACACGTAAATAGAAAATCCTATGGAGAGAGTAAGCAGAAAAATTTGCATCACCAGATCATTTCCACTAGAACATTAGAAACACTAGTGACTTGTCCGTGCTAACGCTACGATAATTTTAAATAATCTTTCATGTATAGCGTATGTTATGAATTAAATTTAACATTTGCAAGAATCCTATATACCTATACAAGTCATCCCCACTAAGTGCAATTAAAACTAATTTCCTGTGCTGTGGTTGTTCCACGTCATCCCAATTAAATCTGGCCTTAGGATCGAGCTTGAACGTGCTAGATCAGTCGATGGAAGCACAGCCCATGTTCCTTTCTTTCCTGGCCCATCTATTCATCGACCCATTAATTCCAGCCCAGCGAGTCTCCTGTCACACGTTCCCCATTCTCATTAGCAAGCATGAGCGCCGCCGGTAGCAACATCAATTGACCACCGCCTTTCCACATCCCCTTTTTCTGACGCTGCGTTTCCCCTTCCTGCAACCATCGATGGACTTCCTGAACTGTGTCTAGAATCTGATTCGACCGCATGGCAAGCCATCCACACACTGACGTTGTGACATGAGGAACCGATAGGAGATGGCCATGCTACGCTTCGCTTGGTGGTTTAGTTTCATTTGTGAGTCATAGATCCCCTAATGCATGGATCACTGTATGGTTATATAGGATTTGATCCCTAACTCACCCGGCCAAATTACTTTTATCTTTTGTGAAGATGCTTTTCGTTTGATCACTTAAATCTTCTTTCAGATGTTAGTTTATTTTGATTGCTTCGAGTAATCAACGTTGCACCGGCTAATTGATTTTTTTTCTCTAATTGCTTTGCTTTGTAGGCCATATCCCCAATTCATGGATCCGACTACCATTCACAATTTTTGTTTTCTTATCCTGCAGGGTTGATTGGATGGGTTCATTTGACTCTAGATGAGACAATCAGGTATTTGTGTTTTAGTAAGCAATTGATGCAAATATCAAAATGATCTACTTCGCATCCACTTAGTCTTGCTTATGTTCCTTTTCTTACATGTTAATATTATGTGCATGAAATGCACCTTTTGTTGTTTCTGAATTTCCTGGCCTCCATGTGCACCTTCAATCGAATTTTATTCAGTTGCTATATATATGCAGGTCACTTCGCAATCCTGCAAATACTTAACGATTGGTTGGAGAAAGGTACAACCCACATTAATAGGAGTGCAACAAGGAAGTGCTTCCATAAGTGCTCCTATTATCCTCCAATCTTGATAAGCTCCTTTTCTGCAAATGTTCCTCGGACTTTGTAAGCAGAAAAGGTGGATTTTTTTTCTTTGGTTAGGCTGTTCGGGATGGAGCTGAAATACATGAGAAGAACTAAGAGATAAAACAGAAAATGTAGATGCGGGAACAAGAACAGGTAGGTGATGCCTTAATTATTGTCTTATTATTCATTTCAGACGGTGTATGCAATTGTCAAACTTGCGTCTACCTGCAGCTATACTAATCCATATCCCTTTCATGAACATTTCTTCTTTGATCCTTTGATTATCTGTGTTCTTTATATGTCAATTTCTAAATATCTTGGTAGGTTGCTAAATTTTAATCCTAATGGGATCATGTTTTGGCTGCTTGGTGTCTAACCACATCCATCTGTTATTTATGTCGCTGAGCAGCGTGCCCAGGATGGCTATACACAAGTCGACTTCAAGAAAATGTGAAGGGCTAAGAATGAGGTATTTTTCTTATCCATTTAGTCCGTTGAATATGTTTGTGGTAGGTCCTCTCCATACTAATAAAGACAAACATCCTTATCTGATACGTACTCCCTCCATTTCAAAATATTTGATACCGTTGACTTTTTAGTATATGTTTGACCATTCATCTTATTTAAAAAATTTAAGTAATTATTTATTTTTTCCATATCATTCGATTAATTGTTAAATATACTTTTATATACACATATAGTTTTACATATTTCACAAGTTTTTTTAATAAGACAAATGGTCAAACATATGCTAAAAAGTCAATGGTGTCAAACATTTTAAAACGGAGAGAGTATATTGTTTGATTTGATTTAATTTATAGCACCTGCATCCATCCAATCTAAACGGACAACTAAAATTTTCGACGAGTAGTATATAGATATTTTCACCTGTATGTATTTAGCAGTTTTTAGAATATCCGTTGCAGTGCAAGACCACGGATTAGTCTTAATTGGAGGTTTAGTTTTTACTGTGGCTAATATTTTGCACTGTTGATCGACTGTCTGTTCCTCCACATATACGAGCTTAGATAATAGTAGAATTATTGGTTTTAACTTCTACATTTTCTCTCATGAACTTTCTATTTGATTTTTATTTGACTTTCCAATTAACCGATAAATTTTTACTGCCAACACTAACATCAATTTTGTGTATAAGTACTACAGTGTTTTGTGATCTAAAATCATGTAGAGAACCACAGATAGTATATATATTTAAAAGTTATACTCCCTCCTTTCCTAAATGTTTGACGTTGTTGACTATTTTAAACATGTTTGATCATTCGTCTTATTCAAAAACTTTTGTGAAATATGTAAAACTATATGCATACATAAAAGTATATTTAACAATGAATCAAATGATAGGAAAAGAATTAATAATTACTTAAATTTTTTAAATAAGATAGACGGTCAAATATGTTTAAAAAAGTCAACGGCGTCAAACATTTAAGGATGGAGGGAGTACAAATCATAGTTATAATTCATATTATTTCTTTATCTGTGTTTCATATATTGTGATGCATCTTATTTTTCGCTCATATATACCGCAGCAACGCACGGGGTATTATCTAGTTTGATTATCTTTTGAAGAATCAATGCCTAGACTTTGAAGTTCCTAAAAAAAGGATAATACATAGAATCCAGACGACCGAAATTCTAGTATTAGATAGACGAGTTTCTGATTTATTGTTTACATTGCCACCTTAAGGACACTATTGTCAGGTTAAGGTATGTCAGAATATGAGACAATAGGATCACTGTATCTAGAATTTCTACCATCATATGTGAACAACATAACAGTACAATAGTTATAATTCTTTTTTTACAAAATCAAAACATAAAAATTATTATAGTAAAGACTTATTAGCCATAAAGCTCATGTCATTCATCACCGTACATCTACAATACTCAACAAGTCTAAAATTACAAGAAGCTCTTTACACCAAACTTACACTTTCTTCTATCAAATGACCACCCAATCCACCACCATAAAAATACGAGAACTTCTTTTAGTCTTGAATGCCCAGTAGAATTTCTATAGAAAAACGCGCATCTGCTGCTTGTCACAGTAGATTGGATTTGACAAACAACTAACAATTCTATCCGACAACACACATTTGCTAAAGCACAATACATGTTAAGACAACTCATCATTGATCAAATAAATTTGTTCAAGTGTCATTGCACCTGGTAAGAGCTGCCAGCCTACTCCATACATGCATATTTTCTTGCTTGTAGAACTGAAAATAGAATCGTTCATTATTACATGCCAGAGGTTGTTACTATGGTTGCAAACCTTTATAAATAATTTTACCAGTTAATTAACAAACAACTTTAATTTGGCTCCTAGAACTAATTGTAATTATACATGTTCTAATTTTACTACACTTCAGCTTTCTAAATAACAATAGCAAGGAAATTTTACTCACAAAATACACACCAGTGAGGAAATACAATCTAACTGTGATCCTTGTAAGTGCTATCTACTGTCCACAAATCGTATAGAGAAATGCACCTTTTCTGCAATATATATGATATATGAGATCAGGTATTCAGGTGAAGAGGCAAGAATAACAAAGGAGACCTGCACCTTACTGTACATTATATTGTGCATGCTGAAGTATCACCGAAGCACATTATATTGTGCAATATCAGATCAAAGGCAAAGAAGCTCACCCTCGACAAAAGAACCTAAAATTCAGACCATAAGTTCAGAAGGATCACCATAGTAAACAATATGTAAAATCCAAAACCGATGTTAGCAACCATGTTTGCTGGTCAGACCCAAGGCAAACAGGCCACTGAAGACAGACTCAACGTTACCATATTCATAAATAAATTTTGCCCTTTATAACCTTGAGGGTACAGTGCATGTGAATATTACGTTAAAGAGCAAACGCTATCAGGTAATGGTGGGAAGGGAATATAAGCAAGCCATGCATCAGCTTGCCTGCAATACATGAATAAACTGAATGCAGGAGCTCGGATGCATGTTAGTATGGCAAGTCAGTCTTATGAAGCTGAGATGATGAATGGAGCTTTTAAGTCTAAACCACACCATTCACTTTGACAAATGTGCAGTATTACTCATGACCTGCAATTAACCTAAACGACAATATGTGGTTAGAACTACTCAAAATACAGAGTTCCTTACAACCTAAGTGAAATGCTGCATACAAACAAACAAATTTTCTCAAACAAAATTGTAATAATGAACCTAAAAGAATTTGAAAGAGCTAGCACACTTATGCTCCTGAACCTTTTTTTTTTTGCAAAAAGTGCAGAACACAATGGGTCGCAATTATGCTCGGAATAGCAAGATTAAACACAGCATTTCCAATCGCATGCATAGTTATTCAAATTTATCCAGTACAAATGAAGGCAAATGCAGGGGGGAAAAATTAGCAGAAATTCCCTCCGCTGACCTCAGAAATGGCCTTCTGCTGCAGCCTGCATAACACATTTCAGCAGCAGAGAATCACAAGTTCATAACTATACATCTAGCCTAAGAGTCTATCAATGATGAATAAAAATTGATGTGGTTGATAGAAAGAACCACCCAAGTACAAATAGAAAATTGCATCAACTGCTCATTAATTACAGCGAAACCTAAATCTACGGGAAATAGCACCCTTGATCTGGGAGCTTAGGCTAGTAAAATGCATACAAGATTATGGGTTAAAGGTATATGGTAGCTTTTGTGCCTTGTTAATGAACCAGCTATATACATAAAATCAGCGCTGCCAAGCTAATCATCAATGAAAAGTGAAATAAAAGGGAGAAGACATACATGCTTGATGCTTCATAGGACATCACATTTATGGTCATATTAGGGATGGGGATCAGCTAGAAGGTGGATGGGTGGTGGAGTAGGGTTTTTGTACCTCTTGGCGTTCAAGGCGGAGGCGGTGGCAGCATGCCGATGCAGGAGTCCGCGACTCATCAGCGTCGCAGATCGGCGAGGCAAGGGATGGAGTCCTGGCGGTGCGTCGGTGGAGCGGATCGGCGAGGCTTGTCGATGGAGTTATGGCGGCGCGGACGAGATCAGCGAGGCGGACACCTAGGCAATGACGCAGATGCAGTCCCTAGCGAGCTACACCTCACCGACTATACCCTGAATTTAAGAAAAATGGAGAACTGAACACAACTGGATCAAATAGCTTGTTCTAATATGCAAGATGAAACACATAAATATTTTGTCAAATATCGATTCTTTTAAAACAGTCGTAAGAAATTTCATTAGGAGAAATTTTATGTATCTGCCAATGTTCATGCTTATGCTCTACCAACTGCATATTAGAAGTCCTGACCCGAACTGACGGCAAACTCAAAGTTCAGTAGACAAAGCAAACCAGTTCATCCTTTAATTTCTCCAAAGCTGCAAGCCAAGAAAAGCCCCAAATTCCTACCTTTCTTGACATGCTCAAGGCAACAGCAAACACACCTTTCTTGCATTGCATGAGACCTATAAACCTAAACTCTACATAGCTTCATGGACAATGCAAACAACTTGGATCTTTGCATTTCTAATCGAGCTTATCACCCCAAAGGCAGCCATGTCCGGAATGGGATCGAGCAATGCTTTACCTTGTCCGCAGCGGTACAGAAGGCGGCGCAAGATAGTTGGTGGTGGTGGTGTCGAAGGCGAAGGCGACTCGCGACGCGGTCGGCGGGAGGCGCTCGCTGGAGAGGGGCGCGGGCGTTGGAGGCTTGTCGTGACGCGGTCAGCGGGGAGGGGAGTCGGAATCGACGGCGGCGGCGGCGGCGGTTGGCGTGAGAGGGATGGCGCGAACAACGCGCGCGGCGCTTGAGACGGCACGACAAGGTTGTGGCAGGGAAGAGAGAAGGAGGTGGCGGCGTGCTCTGTAGGTTGGGCGAGGAATCTGGGAACCGAAAATCACGCACGCAGCGATGAGCGGTTGAAGGTACGTTGCGGTGATTTTCAGTCGGTGTGGACTGCCGCCGTCGCACGCATTCCTCCCCGTCCACCCCCACAGCCGACGCCGCACCCAGTACCGCGGCGCCCATTCCCCCCTCCATCCTTCCCCCTAGCTGTTCGCCGTCACGCACACCACCGGCTGCCCCCAGCACCCGCCGACGGGCCGCCTCGCATTCGTTCGCGGCCGTCCATGGAGGCCGCCCTCGGACTCCTCCGTGCGCGCCACCGGTCGCCGGCTCTCCCTCTTCGCCACCCGGCGCCGCGGCGGACGTCCAGGAAGCCTCAGGAGTCAGGACCTCCAGAGGGGAGAGGCGTGCGTGATTTTCGGTGTGCACGGTCTCATACTGGGTGACCCCGCGTGCGTGCCCTGTCGTCGGATCTAATGCGCTGAATGATCGTGGACCGTTGGATATGTGACATGATGAATTATGAATGAGTAAAACAACTTGTTGAATTATAGAGCAGCAAAAGAATAGATAGATTATAGGGTAGACTAGTGTATCTTCCTCATCATCATTAATACTTTCTCCGTCTCAAAATATAAATCCTTATATTCCTTATATTTTGGAATGAAGAGAGTAGCATATATTGAATCGCCGTACCGCCCGGATAGGAATTTGATCCTTATAGGTCCTCTAAGAATTTGTTTTTGCTTAAAATCATCCTTGGGCCACTTAATATGCCATATAGCTATTTATAGTCAACAATTCTGTTAGAAAATATCTCTTTTGCCCTTAATTTGTATACAACTATACACTAGTAAAGAGAAAACCAAGATACATAAACAACATTTGTACTTCCCATTATTTCAACATGTGCAAAAGAAACTTGAGTCTAATGGCTATTGTATACACTTGCAAGTATATAATTTACTTTTGTTTTACATAAATTTCTATGCATTATCTATAAAAAAAATTCATTACGCATTTTTTTGTCTTATATATGTGAATGAGGGGGTATAAGTGTCATTCATCAAGATATTTGTTGGTTATGTGGGTCCCACTATTTTTATCTTATTTGAGTGACATATGGGCCCCATATCTTTGTTGTAATTTTTTATTTTCCAATTTTATTTTTTCAGATCAAACTGTCACGTAAGTGTCACGTCAACACCACGTAGGACGAAGGCTTAATCAAAAGATCCACATAAGCGTCACGTCAGCCAAAAAAACGGAGTCAATAACATCGAGGGACCTCGTTTCCACTGGTTTTATAAGTTGGGAATGCAATGTATCCGGTTTTCTAGACTGAGGATGAAAATCGGACTAGACGATAAATTGAGGGATCTAAGGTGAACTTATTCCTACCGGAAAACGCAGGAGGAAGGCCTTCGGGCTACTAGCCGGGTGAAAGGGAAGGATTGAACCGTGTGATTTTGTGACCTTTCGGTAGTTTTCTCTGTTAATTCTGATTATTCACTGATACACAACGTACTAATATATATCAAGGTATCTGTGTGGATAAGAGGAGGAACTTTTGATCTCTACGAGCCTATCTCCACCTCACCCTCCTCTCTCTATCTCTCCTCTGGGTCTAAATGGGGGTCAACGGCATAGTTATTGAGACCGGACCAGTAATCGAACTGGTGAGGCTCTCGGTTCAATGGTTCGCTGGTTCAACCGGGTGAATAGTTGGTGTAACCCGGTTCAATACTAATCAAATATATTAATCATTCTATTAGAAGTTTAGAACACAACAAGCAAGGTAGCCTGGTTGTTGGGAGAGAGTTAACTCCCCATGGGGTCATGGGTTCGAATCCCACCCAAGCGTTTTTTCCCTCATTTTTCCCCCACTAGCGCGCGCTTCCCCTTTCTATCCCACATTCCCACGTGCCGATTCGACCGGTTCAAAAGGCGGTTTTATTTCCGGTTTGACAGCGGTTTTTCTTCAAAACCGGGCGGTCTGACCGGTTCACTGCCGATTCGATTGCATGCCGGTCTTTTACCTGGACCGAACCGGCAAGAGCTTTGGTTCCAGTTTTTTCCGGTCTGACCGCCGGTCCGGTCCGGTCTTAATAACTATGGTCAACGGCGACGCAAGATAGTAGCAACGGGGTGGACGACGAGGCAGCAAGGAGGGAGTTGCGGCGTTCTGACCGGTTCACTGCCGATTCGATTGCATGCTGGTCTTTTACCTGGACCGAACCGGCAAGGGCTTTGGTTCCAGTTTTTTCCGGTCTGACCGCCGGTCCGGTCCGGTCTTAATAACTATGGTCAACGGCGACGCAAGATAGTAGCAGCGGGGTGGACGACGAGGCAGCAAGGAGGGAGTTGCGGCGTTCTGGCTGCAGAGGAAAGGATCAAGGAGAGGGAGCCGGTGAGCTGCGGCGACGGAGGAGGAAAAGGAGCGGGTGGGGAAGGCGACGAGGGATCTCTACTACATGGTTTTGTAAGTTGAGAGATGCGTTGTATCTGGTTTTCTGGTCTGAGAATGAAAATTAGACTGTGTGACAAATCGAGGGACCTATGGTTTTCCTTTCCGGCACAACCAACATTGGACAAGGCCGAGTTCAAAAAAAAGGAATAAGTCCACTTTGACTCCCTTAAAAATGACACCAATCTAATCTATGACCCCTAAACTGCTAAAACCGGTGTAAATTGACTCCCTTAAAACCAGATATTTTGACCCCTAAATTGCTAAAACCGGTGTAAATTGACTCCCTCGGCGGTTTTGAAAAGCGGTTTTGCTGACGTGGCGTCTACGTGGCAGTGTTGACCTGGTCTGCTATTGACGTGGCGCTTAGGTGGCATTAGAATTAAAAATATGCATGTGGGACCCATTTGTCATTCGCATGGAAGAAAATTTTGTGGGGCCACATGTCAGTCTATCCCTTCCTCATCCTCCCCCTTTCTCTCCCTTATCTCTCTCTCCCTCCCCATTCGGCAAGCGGCAACCACAGCCATTTATGCCACTGGATGAGCGCTGCCATGGCCGTGCCTTACCGCGGTTTCGTCTCGTCCTTCTCCATTCCCAGCAATGCAACCACAACCGTCACCGCCGTTGTGCGGCCGACCTCGCGTGGTTTCGCTACCTCAACCCTCAGGGCACTGCCCACCACCGCACCACCATTCCCGACCACTCCAACCTCCAAGGTCCCTTTTGGGTGTGCAGCAAATGAAAAGGAAAACTTGATTCCTTTTCGTGAAACGATTCCGCCGCTCACACTTCTTGGTGTGCATCAATTATTCCTTTTGGGAAAACTTGACTTTTTTTTTTTAAAAAAAAAAAGAAAATCATCTGGCTGTGGAGTGTGAACATCAATGTTTTCTCCTTCCCTTTCATTTGCTGTGAATTCAATCCCCTCCTCACGAACACTCGAACACCATGAGGACTCTCTACAAGACTCGGACTCCACCGCCGCATTCTCGCATGGCTTAGCCGTATTCTCGTTTATCTCTAATGGGTCCTCCGTACACATGACCTAACCAAATTTTTCAACGAATTTTTTCCACTTTTCTGACTAGCCGATGCGTCCGTTCTTGATTCTTGTACGTATTCCTCATTCGTGCTGCATAGTGAGCAGTAGAGATTCAGACTTTTTTTTTGGGTTTGAGGATCAGAGAATTGAGGGGAGTAGAGATTGAGATCAGAGAATTCGGCGGTGACGGCAGGTCTCAGTCAGATTTGGGCGGTAGCGGAGGAGCTCCGGCGAGCTCTCTCCTAGGTGGCCGCCGTCCCCGGCGCCGTGAGGTGGCCACCACTGAGGTGGAGGCCAAAGCCGCGGTCCGCCGGCGCGCGCCGGTCGTCGTTCGCCAAAGACAACCCCCGCCGGTCGACTTCCTCCACGATGCCGACCCTATCTCGCCGAGTGCTGCCTCGCCATTGTCGACTCCTCCACTCCGGGGACCGCCACTCCAGCTAGCTCCTATGTCAGCTCCCGCCGCCGCCAGCCGCCACCACTCCGGCCCATGCCCGCCGCCGGCCGAAGGGGAGAGAGAGAAAGAAAGAGAGAAGGGAGGAAGAAGAAAGAGAGAGATGACATGTGGGGCCCATATGCTAGTAGGCCCCATAATTTTTTATGTGTGTGAATGACTAACGAGTCCCGCGTACATGTTTTTAATTCAAATGCCACCTAAGCGCCACGTCAACCCCATAGACTGGTCAATACCGCTACGTCAGCGCCACGTCAGCAAAACCGCTCTATAAAACCACCAAGGGAGTCAAATTGCACCGGTTTCAATAGTTCAGGGGTCGAGATATCCGGTTTTGCGGTTTAGGGTCATGAATTAGTCATTTTTCAGGGAGTCAAAGTGGACTTATTGCGAAAAAAAAACAATGGACAAGGCCCAAAAGCCCAAATTGCAGTGCGTGGTTGTGGTTGGCCCAAACAAGTCCTTCCCGTAATCGCGTTCGTCATCATCTATCTCCTCCACCGCCTGATCGCGCCGCCGCCGTCTCTTTTCACCTACAAAAACCCTAAGCCCAAAAATCTCCATCCCCCCCGCCCCCAGAGATCCCCCAATCCACTCGATTCGATCCAATCCGGCGAGGTACAGGATGCTGCCGGGGTCGGCGGCGCCGGCGGCTGGGAGCGGCATGTTCGTGCCAACGCAGACGGTGGGCACGGTGCTGTGCTGCATCTGCGGCGTGGCGATGCAGCCCAACCCGGCCAACATGTGCGCGCGCTGCATCCGCGCCCGCGTCGACATCACCGAGGGCGTCCCGCGCCACGCCGCCGTCGTCTACTGCCCCGACTGCACCTCCTACCTCCAGCCGCCGCGCTCCTGGCTCCGCGCCGGCCCGGAGTCCCCCGAGCTCATGCAGATCCTCCTCCGCCGCCTCAACCGCCCCCTCGCCCGCCTCCGCGTCTCCCTCTCCGCCGCCGAGTTCGTCTTCTCCGAGCCCCACTCCAAGCGCCTCCGCCTCAAGCTCCGCCTCCGCCGCGAGGTCTTCAACGCCGTCGTCCTCGAGCAGACCCACCCCGTCGAGTTCACCGTCCACGATCGCCTCTGCGATGCCTGCGCCCGCGCCCAGTCCAACCCCGACCAGTGGGTCGCCGTCGTCCAGCTCCGCCAGCACGTCCCGCACCGCCGCACCTTCCTCTACCTCGAGCAGCTCCTCCTCAAGCACGGCCAGGCCTCCCTCGCCCTCCGCGTCGCCGCCGCCCCCGGCGGCCTCGACTTCTTCTTCGGCTCCCGCTCGCACGCCGCCCGCCTCGTCGACTTCCTCGCCACCGTCGCCCCCGTCCAGACCCAGACCGCCAAGCAGCTCGTCTCCCACGACACCAAGAGCAACGTCTACAACTACAAGCACACCTTCTCCGTCGAGATCTGCCCCATCTGCCGGGAGGACCTCATCGCCCTTAGCCCTCAGGTGTCCCGCGATCTTGGAGGCCTTGGACCTATCGTCCTCTGCATCAAGGTCACCAATGCCATCGCTCTGCTTGACCCCCTCACCCTGCGTGTGCACCACCTCGAGGAAAAGAAGTACAGGGTCTACAACTTCAAGGCTGCTCTCACCAGCAAGCAGCTCGTCGAGTACATCGTGCTAGACATCGAGCACGAGTCACCAGAGATTACCATTGACGGATCTCGCTACCAGTTGGCTTATGCCCAGGTCGCCCGGGTCTCCGACTTTGGGAAAAACGACACCATGTTCACCGTGCGGACTCATCTTGGCCACCTGCTGAATCCTGGAGACCTTGCCCTTGGGTATGATCTTTATGGTGCCAACTTGAATGATGATGACATGGACACAGCTATGATGCGCCACAGTCTGCCTGAAGTCATTCTTGTTAAGAAGAGCTTCGCCAAGAGGCCACGCACACGCCGATGGAAGCTGAAGAGGCTTCCAATGGAGGAAGATGCTGTAAATAAGGCCAAGGGGGAGCTAGAGAAGAGGGCTGATGAGTATGAGGAGTTTCTCAGGGACTTGGAGCACAACTCTGATATTAGATTCCAGATTGATCTATACAAGGATGAGGACTACAGGTCGGAGATGGCATCTACTATTGGTGATGATGTTCCCACTGTGCCGATTGAGGAACTAATTGAGGACCTAAGTCTTGGTGATGATGAGGAGGAGGATGAAGGTGGGGAAGGCAACCAACATGCTGTTATGGTGGGATGAGTTAATATGTTTACCTGTGCTGTGCTTCTGCCTTCTGGTGATGGTTGCTGCCAACCGCAGATCATAGGTCTGAACTGCATCTGTTTAATCCGTATAAGTTTTGTTCTCCCCTTTACTTCTATAAGTTATAAGTTTTGTTGCTAAATTGTTTCAACTTTTGCTGTTTCTCATGATAGATGTTGTATCACCTTATCCTGTATCTGGTGTTGCAGCTTGGCTTAAATTATATTTCTCTATTCTTATTGTCTGTGATATGTTGTTTTCTTGCCATAGTGTGGCTGATCACAACATATCTTAAAATAGATGCATTGTTTGATTTCCAAAACATCTAGTTTGGTGTTTAGATTGTGCCAGATTCATATTTTTACTATATGTTTTTAGTCCCCATTATGTGGTTTGCAAGCGTGGAATATGATTGTGGATTTATGCTGAGTCATGACTAGAGAATTGTAGGTATGACCTGAAAACGTCTGCCATGTTGAGTGTCACTCCAATAAATTGATTAAAAAACTAATAAAGATAAGTGTAGTATAATATCATACCCAGGAGCCATGATGAGACAATAATGTGCATTTTTAGTGATTGCAATTCAACTGCTGCTGTTTTATCAGGCACTTCATTCAGACTATGCCTACATCGTGCAATAAGAGGTTAGATATGTAGAGTTGATGGACAGAACAGATGGTGCTCCACTAATAAGCGATGAGTACTGGTTTGGTAAAACTTTAATAAGTTAAGAATTTTACGGATCTTTTTTTTCTATTACTTTCACAAGGTGGTGCTGTTCTCAAACCTAATGACTTATAATCGTAAAAAAAAAAAACTTAGATTTTATTCAAACATTAAACTTCTGTTTACCCTTGATTTCTCCGCACTTCCATTTATCATGTAGCATAGCAGGCTGTGGACTTGTATCCAACATTTCTGTGTGAGTAGTTTCTTATGCTTCAGAATTTTTAGTTCTACCAGCCGAAAAGTTTACATATTTGTGCCATTTTGATATCTATAATTATAGTTCTACATTAGAGTCTACATAAGATAAAAGTTCCACTGAGCTAAGGCATAGGGAATGAACGTGCACTTGTCTATTATTGACATGGTGAATTGAGTCATATAAAATTCACCACCCATGCCCCTGTGCCTCTTGTATTTTGGAACTGTGGATTGTTTCATTCAGTTCTCTGGAATGAATTGACCCAACAGGGTGCACTGTATGTTTTTTGCTCCTATTCATTGCCTCTTATTTATTTACTTATGGTGTAGTTTTATTAGTTTCAATAGTACCAGTAGATGATTCAAGTTGGAATGAAACTTGCTCAGCATGAAATCCTATTTTTCTGTGATTGTGAAATTAGAAATGTTGCTTGGTGATAGGTGTACATCCGTTCCAGTCGGGCCATATTCTGTATATTCCAAGTTTTGTGTAGTACTATATATTTTAGCGTGTAAGAACTAGTAATGGGCCCTTTTTTATGTCATGCACAAATGCATTTGTTTACTTTGAGCTTTTGTCAATAATATACATGCGTGGTTGGTGTGGTCCGATTAACAATCATCTGTGTTTGAGCTCAAAGGTATGATCTCTCGGAAAGCAGAGTTTACAAATATATATAGAGCTGCGCATGCTTAGCTTTGAGTTTCCTGCCTTCCTGGGCCTGATTTGTTGGCCTTGCGCGGGAGTGGTACGTGACTTGGAGCACACAAACAAATTGAAAGCTTTGCTGCTTCTTTCTTGTGATAAAATTCATTTTTTTTTGTGTCAAAGTTTACATTTTGGTGTGGTGTGGAGAAACCCTTGCCATTTGGCATTGCGTATGACTAACCCTGATGTGAAGAGAAGTTTTCGTTTCAAAATTTGGAAACATGTTTGTTGCAAGTTTTGATCTGATTACTAGTACTAGTACTCGTGCTTTACAAAAGTAGGAGTATTGGATAGACCATTGAATTCCTGTAGCAGAGTCTATTCTGAAATCCTGGAATCTGGACATGGTGCTTGCCGGTTCATTTCATGTGGACGCCATATCGTCCTGCATCCGAAAATGGTTTGCTTCGTAGGATCGTTATTTTGCTTGTTAGTGTGTCGTCCACTGGCTTTAACGCACCTTTTGTGAATTGTGATGATTCACTTTTGGAGTACGAAAAGTCCCATCATTCAGCTAATATCTACATCCATCATTCAGTTTAGGTACTAGTAGTGACTCGTAAACAATTGTCGCAGCAAAATGGAAATTGATACCAAACTAATTTTCTCATTTATGCCGTCGTTACATTGTTCTTCCAACAAGTATTAATCCGTGTTATATACTCCAGTCACGGACTTGCTACATGAACGAAAAGCAGCAGCCGGGCGATGATAGATTACATCACGGCTGACGTGTACTTTGTCCGGGAGACGAGTAGAAAAGGACAAGTTGTATTTCTTCATCTTTCTTTGGCTCGTGCCCTACAGTACTCCGCGGCTGCCTGCCAACCCGGTAATCGCAGAGGCAGGTCATCGTCGGATTTGATCTTGACGGCTGACCCGTCCCGCCGGCGGTAGCTGCAGCCAGTGCCTCGCCCCCCTTCCATATAACACCAACCTCCTCCGCGATCGCAATCGCCACCAACCCCATCGAGAAGCAGACGCCACCACCGCGATTCGAATCGCCGCCGTCTCAAACTCAAAACTCACAGGTAAGTTCCCCTCGCATTGCTTCGATCTTGCCTGCCCTCGATCCCTCATTCGATCTGTCGCTTTGAATCAAGATTTTTTTGATCGCATTTTCATCAGATCGATCAGATCATGGGGGACGTGGTCAAGGACCTGGTGGCGGGCACCGTCGGGGGAGCGGCCAACCTCATCGTCGGCCACCCCTTCGACACCATCAAGGTCAAGCTCCAGAGCCAGCCCACCCCTGCCCCCGGCCAATTCCCCAAGTACGCCGGCGCCGTCGACGCCGTCAAGCAGACCATCGCCACCGAGGGCCCCAGGGGCCTCTACAAGGGGATGGGTGCGCCGCTCGCCACCGTCGCCGCCTTCAACGCCCTCCTCTTCACCGTCAGGGGCCAGATGGAGGCCCTGCTGCGCTCCGAGCCCGGCCAGCCTCTCACGGTCAACCAGCAGGTCGTCGCCGGTGCGGGTGCTGGTGTTGCCGTCTCCTTCCTCGCTTGCCCAACTGAGCTCATCAAGTGCAGGTAGCTTTTACTCACCATTGCGTGCTAAATTCCTTTCATCTGGTGGTGACTGCACTGTTCATTTTCACTCTGAGGGTGCCTGAGCTTTGCATCATCGTCTGTACAATAGATCAATAGGAATCCCCTGGTAATGAGCTTCTCTGAAATTGCCCTTTCCTGCACATATCATTCTTCACCATCAGCCATGTTACTGCGATACACTCGTTCAAGTGCATTTCACATTTTCGTTACTGCTTGTCACTTCCACTGCATTGTGGCTTTTTTTACTCACGCCACTAAAAGTTAATCTGTGGACTTATTTTTTCCTATTGAGACCACAGCGCTCTAGATCAAATAATTCCAGACCAAGTTTCCCGATAAAATTGACCTTTTTACCTGAAACAGGTCTGTTCAGTGCAGACTTGCAGTGCTCCCCCCCCCCCCCCCCCCTCCCTTCAGCAGCGAGCGATACACTTCTGCAGTGTGCATATTCAAAGGGAATAAAGACCCTTGTGCTTTATATGCTCTTTTGTAGGTTTCTTGTGTTTTCTGATTTCTACTTGATAGGGATATATGAGTTTTGCGCCTCAGTTCTCCAGAGAAAATGACACCACACCCTTCCTGTTGAACAACCATATACATATGTTAAATGCTGTAAAATCAAATCAATGTTGTGAACTGCCGCAGTGCAGTAACTTATTTAGGTTGCGAGTCGTCGTAAACTTGTGCAGTAGGCTCATTCAAACACTGATCCTTGTGCTTTATAGGTTTTTTTAAGTGTTCTTATGTTTTGTGATATCTCCTTGGAAGGGAGATGTAAAACAACAAATTGAATAATTTAACAGTCAAAAACATGCCTTTTACTCCTATTCTATCTTGTGTATGTCCTTGAAAGGGATATATGAGTTTTGAGTCTCAATTCTCTAGACAAATGACATCAGACTGCGTTTTCTGAACAACTGTCCTTTTTATCACAAGCATACTTCTAAATATGTTAAGAACCATAGATGGTTGCTCTATCAAATCAATATTGTGAGCTGTTGCAACACAATACTTATTTCGGTTACAAGTCGTCATACAGTTGTGCAGTCGGCACATTCAAAAACCATATCATGTGTATTTTATTTGCTTTTAAGTGCAGCTCTTATGTTTTTTGATATCTCCTACCTGAAGAATTTTATAACAGTAAAAAACATCAGTTTACTCATATTCCAATTTGCTTTACCCATTTGCAGGTTGCAGGCCCAGAGTGCTTTAGCCGAGGCAGCTGCTGCTTCTGGCGTAGCCCTACCCAAAGGACCAATTGATGTGGCAAAGCACGTCGTCAGGGAAGCCGGCATGAAGGGTTTGTTCAAGGGCCTTGTCCCTACAATGGGCCGCGAGGTTCCTGGCAATGCCGTGATGTTTGGTGTGTATGAAGGCACCAAGCAGTACCTCGCCGGTGGTCAGGACACATCAAACCTCGGCAGGGGCTCTCTCATCCTATCCGGAGGCCTTGCTGGGGCGGTGTTCTGGCTCTCGGTTTACCCTACCGACGTCGTGAAGAGCGTGATTCAGGTGGATGACTACAAGAAGCCAAGGTACTCAGGGTCAGTCGACGCTTTCAAGAAGATTCTCGCGGCCGATGGAGTGAAGGGCTTGTACAAGGGGTTTGGACCTGCCATGGCTCGTAGTGTCCCGGCCAATGCTGCGACATTCCTGGCGTATGAGATTACAAGATCGGCTCTAGGCTGATTGATTGCTGGTTCCAATGGCCATTTCTATCTCTTATCATGGTTGAAACAACAACCAGGCTGTGCAGTTGAGGGGGGGAAAAAGCAGCAGTAGCAGTTCCAATCCTGTTTTGCAAGTTTATTTCATCTGCAACATTGTGATTCAAAACATTGAAGTATGGAAGATGCAACAGCGAGCAAGATCGCTGGCTCTGCATTTTTTGTCTGCCTGTATGTATAATAATATAAGCCTAACATGTGTGGGGTGTGGGTGTGGAGTGAGTGTAGCTGAAAGAAACTCGTCGTCTTGTCGGAATGGTTGGCCTGGAGTGGATTGGCCATCTGACGGCGATCCCATGGTGAGGGGAGTGAGTGATGCTGTCTGTGATGGCGATTGGGGGTGCGTTTGGTGAGTGAGTGAGTGAGTGGCCCTGGTGTTGCTTGCCCTCTTGGCATCCGAATCACCTCTCCTCTTCTTCTTGGTCTGAATTTTTTTGATTCCCTCTCAACTAGCATCTTTTTAATTGGCTGCTATTGCCACAGCCCTTGTATTTTAGTACTGAGACCTGGGGCTCTAGTTGTTTTGAGCCAGTTGAGCTGCTGCAGCTTTGGGTGAGGTGGAGGTAGGAGGCGGCGGCCGCTCCCATCCTTCCTTCACCTCCATCTATCTCCAAGCTCGATCTTCTGCTGAATAGTAATTTATATTTCTTCTTCCTTGTATAATTTCAGCTTCATGTTTATCAGTTGGGTCGATGATGCATTGGCAGAAATCTGTGTTTCATGTTCTTCTTCAGTTGTTATGTTTGACTAGCAAATTGGACTGCAGATCTTCAGATTTGTGGGGGGTGGTAATTCTAGCTTATCATCTGATCTGACGTAGAATCTGAATGCCTGTGTGGTGGTATTTCTTTCGCTGAATCCTGTAAAAAATGTCGGATTTTTGCTGAATGATAAACGAAACAGATGCAAAGATTCATGCAGTGGAGTGGAGAAGAGAAGGAATAAGGAGAAGCCTTGAACTGACTTGCAATGGTGATGAACTAACTAATTGACTGCAGGAGAGGAGATGGGTGACGTGGCCAAGGACCTGACGGCCGGCACGGTGGGCGGGGCGGCGCAGCTGGTCGTGGGGCACCCCTTCGACACCATCAAGGTGAAGCTGCAGAGCCAGCCGACGCCGCCGCCGGGGCAGCCGCCCAAGTTCGCCGGCGCCATGGACGCCGTCAAGCAGACGCTGGCGGCCGAGGGGCCGAGGGGCCTGTACAAGGGGATGGGGGCGCCGCTCGCCACCGTCGCCGCCTTCAACGCCCTCCTCTTCACCGTCAGGGGCCAGATGGAGGCCGTGCTGCGCTCCGAGCCCGGCGCGCCGCTCACCGTCAGCCAGCAGGTCGTTGCCGGCGCCGGCGCCGGAGTCGCCGTCTCGTTCCTGGCCTGTCCCACTGAGCTCATCAAGTGCAGGTTCGTTTTCTTCTCTCCTGAGGAATCTGTCTACAAGAAAGAAATGGTGCCTGACTGACTAACTGCAAACGTGCTGCCTAATTAACCATCCCAAATTGAATTAGCCTAGCGTTTCCGCAATTGTTATGTGCTAGTATATATATCAATGTGAAATGACAATAAAGTTTCTCATCAGTCAATAATATTCAGTTTTCTTTCAGCAAACGAAACAAAGAGAAGATATTGTTGAGTGCATATTTGTTTTCTGAAAAATTGGAGTGTTGACTTCATAAAACAGAGTGTAATATCTTTAAGCAGAGAGCGGAATAAGCATCTTCTTTTTACCATGTCTACTCCCGTCTCCATGCAATGTTTGCAACAGGAATGCTGCATTCGTTCATCGATGATAGTCTGATTATCTGATAGACCAAACCCCTTAATGCTTCCTACTAGTTCCTAGTAGTGATCATTACTCAATATTTGTTCTCACTTTTTTTAAAAAAAAAAATCCATCATTACTCAATATTTGAACAAACAATTGCGTCAGTACATTACTGTACACTTACAGATTGAGCTCCATAATCTGCTGTTACTGCATTATAGAGTAGTACCATGTATCGAATCTGCATCTTGTGCTGCCATTCTCAATGTACACCTCTTGCTCTTGGCATCACAATGCACTAAAAGTGCAGAAACATACGAGTTACGGGTGAATCCAATCATCTTGTACTGACACTTAGCTGGTTGGTTTGTTGTGGTGTCAGGTTGCAAGCCCAGAGCGCGTTGGCGTCCGCTGCTCCTGCCGCCGCCGCCGCTGCCGCCTCTCCCGTCGGCGGAGGCGCGGCCACGGCGACGGCGAGCGTGGCGGCGGTGAAGTACGGCGGGCCGGTGGACGTGGCGAAGCAGGTGCTGAGGTCGGAGGGCGGCGTGGGGGGGCTGTTCAAGGGGCTGGGGCCGACGCTGGCGCGGGAGGTGCCGGGGAACGCGCTCATGTTCGGCGTGTACGAGGCGATCAAGCAGTACCTCGCCGGCGGGCAGGACACGTCGTCGCTGGGGCGGGGGTCGCTGGTGGTGGCCGGGGGCCTCGCCGGCGCCTCCTTCTGGGGGTCGGTGTACCCGACGGACGTGGTGAAGAGCGTCATCCAGGTGGACGACTACAAGAACCCCAAGTACTCCGGCTCCATGGACGCCTTCAGGAAGATCCTCGCCGCCGACGGCGTCAAGGGCCTCTACAAGGGCTTCGGCCCGGCCATGGCGCGCAGTGTCCCCGCCAACGCCGCCTGCTTCTTGGCCTACGAGGTCACTCGCTCTGCACTAGGCTGAACTCATGTATCATTACATCCTCCTCCTTCTTGACCCTTAATTTTCTTCTTCTGATTCTGATTCTGATTCTTGCTGTCATCCATCTCATCTGTGGATGTAAGAACAGTGTAATTCTGTACACACAAATACTATCTTTATAAAAATTTCCTAGATCACACAAACTCTCTGGTTTAGTGGACTTGTTCCGTTGGTGAATTGTTGATGGTGAGCTAAGCATGGTAATTCTGTGATGCTGTTCGGATGAATCGAAAGGGAAAAGGGGTCTGCGGAGCCGCATGCACATATATACTCCCTCTATGTATATCCAGATTACAGTATTAGGTTGTTTTCTTTTGAACGGAGGGAGTACATACCAGCGGATTATATAAACTAGGCAGTGCCGTAGTAATTAACCATCGCCATCGCCATCGAGCTCGTATATATCGTCGTCACTCTAGTACCTGTATTACGTACTCCCTCCATACTCATAAAGAAAGTCATTTAGAACAATGTTTAAGTCAAACCTTAAGAATATAAATCATGAATAACTCTTAAATTGTTGAGTTTGAAAATGTAAAGATTATATGAGTAGATTTGTTTTGAAAAATAATTTCATAAAAGTATACATGATTACATGTATCACTTTTCAATAAATATTTTTATAGAAACAAGAAGTCAAAGTTGTGTAGTTGTTTAAAATAACTTTCTTTACGAGGAAGAAGGGAGTACGATCGATGAATGGAAGCTAAAGCTCAAACAACAATTTATCGTCCCATGAAAGACTGACTCTCTCTCTTTTGTGGACTTTCTTTTGCGTTGGTACTTGGTAAGGATGCCGCTCACGCATGCAGGGCCATAAATTGTTTGGAGATGACTAAAAACCGTGGTTGGCTAGTTAATTCAACTCTTGTTGATGCAGTTCTCACGAATCCAAACGGAAAGGGACGCTTAACGGCTTAAGTTGACATCTCATCAGAGGCAGGCAGCTGGCTCTGCTTTCGTCAGGTACCACTTAAAAGATAATATATATTTTCATTTAATTAATCTAGCAAGACAGGATGGGGTGGTGGCGCAGTTGGCTAGCGCGTAGGTCTCATAGCTAAAGCGAGTGATCCTGAGGTCGAGAGTTCGAGCCTCTCTCACCCCAACTTTTTTTCCGCTTATTTTTTTTTGCAACTCCTTAATCCTTCTGTGACACAAATTACATTTTTATTTTCCTTTTCTCCAACTTCTTAATCCTTTTATGATAAAAATTAATTCCACTTAATTTGGAAATCCTTCTGTGACACAAATTACATTTTTGTTTTCCTTTTCTGCAACTTCTTAATCCTTTTCTGATAAAAAAATATTGGCCAGTTTGAGATTGGTATTAGACCATTCCCAATAGCCATGATCCGAAACTGAACCAGAACTTCCAGGTTAATAGGGAAGAAGTTTGATCGGAATAAATATAAATTCTTTTCTTATTTCTATTTTATGATTGACCAATATAAACATCAACAACTTCAAATTGGACTCGTTTCCCCTCAACAAATAAAGGCTTGGGCTAACAAAACACTACCTAATGGAGAAGTCGTTGGCGAAGTCACAAGGCACTCCACTTTTCATTATAAAACCGATAAACCAGAAAAAGATGGATTATTTTGCGAAAGAATCTTTGGACCCATAAAAAGCAGAATTTGTGCTTGTGGAAATTCTCGAGCGAGCGGAGCTGAAAACGAAGACGAAAGATTTTACCAAAAATGCGGAGTAGAATTTGTTGATTCTCGGATACAAAGATATCAAATGGGATACATCAAACTCGCATGTCCCGTGACTCATGTGTGGTATTTAAAAGGTCTTCCTAGTTATATCGCGAATCTTTTAGATAAACCCCTTAAGAAATTGGAGGGGCTAGTATATGGCGATTTCTCTTTTGCTAGGCCCAGTGCTAAAAAACCAACTTTCTTACGATTACAAGGTTTATTCGAGGATGAAATTTCATCCTGTAACCATAGCATTTCCCCCTTTTTTTCTACCCCAGGCTTTACAACATTTCGAATTCGGGAAATTGCGACAGGAGCAGGTGCTATTAGAGAACAATTAGCAGATTTGGATTTGCGAATTATTTTAGAGAATTCCTCGGTCGAATGGAAGGAATTAGAAGACGAGGGGTATAGTGGAGATGAATGGGAAGATAGAAAAAGACGAATAAGAAAAGTTTTTTTTGATTAGACGCATGCAATTGGCGAAACATTTTATTCAAACAAATGTAGAACCAGAATGGATGGTTTTGTGCTTATTACCAGTTCTTCCTCCCGAATTAAGAGCGGAACGAAAAGGATTTTCCCTGAGATGGTAAATGAAAACGATTAGCCCCATACGAGGTTTGGGAATAAGTGATGAGCAAGGAATATACGTCTTTCTGCTAAAGAGGATCTATTAAACTCATAATTCATTAGATCTTTGTTATCAATGTCAACTAGGTATCATAAGTAAACGGATCCCGGTTGTTCAATCCTTTGATAACCAAGGTCATTCTTTGCTAAAGAGAAATGATCACTATGAGTCAGACTCAATAGAATTGGATCCATTCCAAATAGCGAGAATTAGGATTCTGGATCCCTCTCAATCTCTCTTTCAATTCGAGGATCCAGAGAGGTGTTTTCATAGTCATCTCCGAATATTTGCCATCTCCGAATATTTTCGATTTCATTTTTCTATGATATGTCTTTCTATATGAAAATTGGTTATTTACGATGTACGATGATCCCTGTTAAGCATCCATGGCTAAATGGTTAAAGCGCCCAACTCATAATTGGTAAATTTGCGGGTTCAATTCCTGCTGGATGCACGTGAACCGGAACGTTCCATAAGTCTATTGGAACTGGCTCTCTATCCATGGAATCTCATCCATCATCCATACATAACGAATTGGTATGGTATATTCATACCATAACATAAGAACAATAAGAACTCGAATTCTTATCGATACTGGAACTCAGAGCATAGGAGAGAAAGTCGATTTATGGATGGAATCAAATACGCAGTATTTACAGAAAAAAGTCTTCGTTTATTGGGAAAGAATCAATATACTTTTAATGTCGAATCGGGATTCACTAAGACTGAAATAAAGCATTGGGTCGAACTCTTCTTTGGTGTTAAGGTAGTAGCTGTGAATAGCCATCGACTGCCCGGAAAGGGTAGAAGAATGGGCCCTATTCTAGGACATACAATGCATTACAGACGTATGATCATTACCCTTCAACCGGGTTATTCTATTCCACTTCTAGATAGAGAAAAAAACTAAAGGAGAATACTTAATAATACGGCGAAACATTTATACAAAACACCTATCCCGAGCACACGCAAGGGAACCATAGATAGGCAAGTGAAATCCAATCCACGAAATAATTTGATCCATGGACGGCACCGTTGTGGTAAAGGTCGTAATTCCAGAGGAATCATTACCGCAAGGCATAGAGGGGGAGGTCATAAGCGCCTATACCGTAAAATCGATTTTCGACGGAATCAAAAAGACATATCTGGTAGAATCGTAACCATAGAATACGACCCTAATCGAAATGCGTACATTTGTCTCATACACTATGGGGATGGTGAGAAGGGATATATTTTACATCCCAGAGGGGCTATAATTGGAGATACTATTGTTTCTGGTACAAAAGTTCCTATATCAATGGGAAATGCCCTACCTTTGAGTGCGGTTTGAACTATTGATTTACGTAATTGGAAGTAACCAATTAGGTTTACGACGAAACCTAGAAATCGATCACTGATTCAATTTGACTACCTCTACAGGATAGACCTCAACAGAAAACTGTTGAGTAACGGCAGCAAGTGATTGAGTTCAGGAGTTCCTCATAGAAAATTATTGACTCTAGAGATATGGTAATATGGAGAAGACAAAATTGTTTGAAGCACGCACAGAACCGGAAGCGCCCCTTGTTTCAAAGAGAGGAGGACGGGTTATTCACATTTAATTTGATGGTCAGAGGCGAATTGAAAGCTAAGCAGTGGTAATTAAGACCCCCGGGGGAAAATAGGGATGTCTCCTACGTTACCCATAATATGTAGAAGTATCGACGTAATTTCATAGAGTCATTCGATCTGAATGCTACATGAAGAACATAAGCCAGATGACGGAACGCGGAGACCTAGAATGTAGAAGATCATAACATGAGCGATTCGGCATATTTGGATTACTTTCCTATATATCCACTCATGTGGTACTTCATCATACGATTCATATAAGATCCATCTGTCTAGAGATCGTCATATTCATCTAGAAAGCCGTATGCTTTGGAAGAAGCTTGTACAGTTTGGGAAGGGGTTTTTTGAGAGAAAAGAAGAATCTACTTCAACCGATATGCCCTTAGGCACGGCCATACATAACATAGAAATCACACGTGGAAGTTCGAGCCTCTCTCACCCCAACTTTTTTTCCGCTTAATTTTTTTGCAACTCCTTAATCCTTCTGTGACACAAATTACATTTTTATTTTCCTTTTCTCCAACTTCTTAATCCTTTTATGATAAAAATTAATTCCACTTAATTTGGAAATCCTTCTGTGACACAAATTACATTTTTGTTTTCCTTTTCTGCAACTTCTTAATCCTTTTCTGATAAAAAATATTGGCCAGTTTGAGATTGGTATTGAACTGCTCCGATTTGAGAATTAAGTTTGGTATCGAGCTGTTCCCTGCGAAATCACCGTGGCAGGAGTGTTAGGGCCCTATCAATGATATATGCATGCATGCATGTAACCTGAATATGCTGGGATAACTGAAGCCATGCATGAGTTGTCAAAGGTCGAACCGGTTGTCTATTCAGTGCGATCGATCGTTTGTTGGCCATTGGCTTAGAAAGGAGTTTCAGCTACACATTTTTGCACTTCATCATCTTGCAACTTGCAATCATCCACTCAAAAAAAAACGTACATAAGCATAGTTCCCCACCAATGTTTGCATCCCCAATAATCATTATGCCTTTCTCCCACTACTACTTCCACTCCTACTTCAGAACTAACCTCTGAATAATCTGAACATCCGACCTAGTACTCAACTACTGAGAGATTGCACGTGCGTCGGATACTCAGAGATTGCTTTGCTTGCATTGTAATCTCTTTCCTTGATGCAAATTGTTTTTGTTAGGCCCTCTTTATTTATGCTTAGGTTTATTGGCTTAAACTTTTAAGTCAGTTTATTGGTTTATATGATTTATAAGCCGGTGGATTTAATGTCCTAAGTTTAGTGGTGAAGTCATACATCTACCTCATATAAGCCAAAAAAAAAAACTTCTCCAACCTAGCTTTTGGCTTAATAGTGTTTGAGTGTCTTATGGCTTCAAAAAAAGCCAAACGAATAAGTTGCTTGTTTGTTTATGCTTAGATTTTTTAGCTTATAAGTTAGCTTATAAGCCTAAACAAAGAGGGCCTTAAAACAGAGGTGGAACTTTGTTCTATTTTTATATTTAGAATAAGAGAATTAACCTAATTTATAAGAAAAATCAGGCAACCATTTGATGCAAATTGTTGATGGTCTCACAACATGTAATGGCCAATGGGACATGGGGCTTAATTTGAAACATAATTGTTGTTACATATTATCTGCTTGATTATACAGACAAAATAAATATTTTTATAGATTATAAATAAACTTAACAAGTAGTAACTTATAGCAAGCTATAGTAGAAGATTTTTGTTTTCGAGAAAGAAAACAATCGGTTCCAATAATTAAGGCTAAGATGAGTGAGCTAGCTCATCTGGCTGTCACTGGCTGAGCTGAAACTGAGGCCCAGGAGAGCAGGGAGTCTTTTCTGGCTTTGATAGACAGTGCCATGTGAGGGTGCAACCGCCTCCTATCCTACTCCCCTTTAATACCCTTCCCTTATCTTCTCTACCACCACAGCCGCGGACACGACTCTTCTGCGATAGCCGCATACTCCATCCGTCAAAAAAAAAATAATCTAGACAAAGATTTAACCTCACTTAGGACAATAAATCTGGACAACCTTATATCCAGATTCATTGTCTTAAATAGTGTCACACCACCTAGGTTGTCTTTTTTTAGATGGAGGGAGTATGTAGTAAGAGTCACTGACATATGAACCCTAGAACGAGGGAGGCTCACATATTAGTCTGCACTACTGCAGTTGCCTAATATAAATCACCATGCCTAAATGTTAACAAAAAACATACTTCTTTTGTAAATCACCATACCTAATGCTGCTTTCATTGACTAATGAAACTGCCATGAGTTTTGATCAGCTTGCTAGCTGCAATGCTGCATTGTTCATTCGGAGTGCACATCCTTTTTTGGAATCTCAGACAAGAAGTTGGCATCAATCGAATCGCTGTGAAAAGAAATGTACTGTTCGCCATTGGCTTTGACTGTAGCTGCGGTCGCAACGCAATGTTATGCGCTGACGTGGATGAAAGCACAAGGAATCTGGTGAGAGAGGCGATGTATCGATTCGATTATGAAAGGAAATAAGACGAATGGAGATGCAGAGATTAGTCTTTTCAGTGATGCCATATCGCTAATGAAGAAGCAATGGGATTGGTTCAAAGGGGATCCCCACTAATGGCAAGTGGAGCACCTAAATATACTTTGCTGCTCCTAAGCACTCTCTGCTTTCCAACCAAGAAATTTGCCTCTCGAATCTTTTGATTTTTCATATGTAGTAAGTATCTTGAACTGATTTGTGCGCATTTTTCCCCCTCCATTTCTCTCTCTTTCTCTTGGAAAAGTAGAACAACAAACAAGGACCAACTTGCAAGCTTTTTCTCCTTCATTGTCTGAATCTTTAAGCATATATTAACCTATCGATCGATGGCATTACATTATACTACTACATGATATGGCTTCTGGAAGGAACACATAAAAGGCAGAACAAATCTATTATTAACTACAATTAAGAATGTTCTTGGAGCCGAAAATGACGCTACTCTTAATCACGAGCTGATAGAGTTGGTCAAACGGCTATCAGGTCCTCCATCTCCATGTCAGCTGAACCAAAGTAACACAAAAAAATAAAATACTAAAACGAAAGCGTCAGGACTACGCAGGCTAAAAGACGATAAATAAACTTTAAGCTGGTTGTGATCAATGATAACGCCCTAATTTCCAGACACTTCGAAATCAAGTTGACATTTGATCGAAATATATTCAAATGCGCGCGCAACAGTGGGAGTGATTGCAACAGAAATTCTTGTGAAATGCAACTTGCCCTTTTCTATTCCAGGCAAGCGGGCACTATAAACAAATTGCTCCAAAGAAGCGTCGCGAAGTACACGCAAGGAGAAGATCTGACAAGAAGGGACAAAAACACCCAACTACCACTAATCAAGCATCCAAAGACAAGCATCGATTATAGTACAATTTAAGGTATCCTGATGTACTAATACGCTCGAATGGATCCACTATTAAGCAGGACTAATTATACAGTGGAATATAGTACTTAAGTTGAGGTGAACAAGATGCAATTACCAAAGCCAAGCTCATCATTTCGATGATAGTTTTTTTTTAACAGATGGGAGGTGGATTTCATGATGCTGTTCTTGTTCCATGCACAAAAGGAATGCAGAAAGGAAGATTGTGTTTGCACTCAGACATGCAATCATTTATAATCATCTAAATTAGTAGTTGCCTTTATGGGTTAAAGAAGAGGAGGATTTATGACAACAATTAGTACTACTAGTAACCATTATGAATAATGAACAAATGCTAGATAGATTAATTTGAATTTGAATGAAGAACAAAACCACCGAAAAGCAAATATGGATTCCAATCAGGAAGTGAGACACACACACAAAGGTAAGTAAAAATTCCAAGCAAAAGAAATCCAGGAAGAGAAGAGGAGGAGGAGAGGAAAAAAGAAGATGAAGAGATTATTACAGGCAGCACCACCAGGAATGAGATGTATTAGAAGCTGACCCTTCCTCCTCCAACTTCATGAGACATGGAGCAAATTCGAAGCACCTCCCTGAATAGAAGTGAAATTGCAGAGAGGTCCAAAAAGAAAAGAAAAAGGCTATTCCGCCGCCGCCGGTGGAGGAGGAGGAGGAGCGGCGGCGGCGGCAGCGGCGTTGGCGTTGGCCTCGGAGACGGACTTGAGCTTCTGGAGGTTGAGCCTGATGACGGTGTCGGCGAAGAGGCGGGTGTCGTCCTCGGTGTTGCCGTCGGGGACGTCGACGATGTAGGACTCGAGGACGAGGGTGCAGATCTCGTCGAGCTGGGAGACGGTGGTGACGGATCGGTAGTTGCGGAGGCGGTGCTCGCCGCCGGTGATGGTGAAGCCGAAGACGCGGTGGGCGTCGTCGAGGAGGTCGAGGCGCTCGGTGCTGGTGCTGGCGGGGAGGCCGGAGATGACGCTGACCTCGCGGAGGCGGCCGGGGCGGAGGTCGTTGCCGTTGTCGTCGTGGTGGGGGTCGGGCCGGAGGACGCAGCTGCGGATGAAGTGCTTGTACACCTGGGGGCAGTCGAAGCGGCGGACGACGGCCCAGACGGCGGCGGGCGGCGCGTGGATGCGCTGCGCGAGGAGGGAGGAGCATTGGCCCGGCCCCACGGCGTAGCGGTGGTGCGCCTCCACCGTCGCCCGCACCTGCGCGTACTCCTCCGCCGTCAGCCCCAGCCCCGCCGGCGGCGGTGGCACTTCCTCCTGCTGCTCCATCGCCGATCCCCTCCGCCTCCGCCTGCTGCTTCGATCGAGGAGGGAAAGTGAGGCTGCTATGCTAGGAGTAGAGAAAGTGGGGGAAGTGAGGAGTGAAGAAGATGTCGAGCGAGCCAGATGGGGAATTGGGATTTGGGCTTTCTCTCTCTTCTCTTTCCTTTTTCTTTTCTTTTCTTCCTGGAGCGTCCATTTAATTACTTCCTCTTTCCCGTGATTTCTTTTCTCCTCCACTCCACGCCTCTACTTTTTCCACCCTTCCGCTCATGGTTAAAAATAAGGTACGACAGATAAATCGTAATGAAATACAAGTAACAAACATACTCCAATATTTTGTTGTAGTAGATAAATGGTTTAAAAGCTAATGCTGTAAACTAAACTTAAATAATAAAAAAATCAAAAATCGTGAGATTATATTTTAAATTAAAATCTTGGTTTTGATAAGCTAAATAGAGGTCGATTAGACATCTTTAAAGTAGAGATTTTTTTTTGTTAAATTTCATTAGAATTGAACTTTCTCATGTGAAAAATTTATGTGCTAGTACAACAACTTTTAGCTTCTGCATTAGCCATAATATGTGGGTTTATTTGTGAATTTGAGCTTTTCTAGGGGCCTGATCATCTGCTTGTACTGTTCGTTTACGTGCTGGATTGGCAGTGATGGAGCCTGCAAGGGATTGAGTGGGTGCTGTTGCTTGTCGATGTGCAGTGTGGACCAACCCCAATTTAACCATTGCATTGCATTATTATGCACAATAAAACTGTTCTGCGCTTTTCTTGTTTTTTTGTTAAAAATAAGTAGAGAAGGAAGCAAACTATACTTGCAAAAATTTGGAGACCTCTAATGCTAACATACTTTGATACTTCATTATTTCAATGCATATCAACATGTTCATCCTAATACGACAAGATGAGGGAGAATATTAGGTGTTCTCCCTTCTAATCTCTATGGTTCCTGTTACAATATTTCAGGAAAAAGCTTGTCCCTTTGTGAGCTTATTATCAACCTGCAGCCCATTGCCACATTTTTTTTTCTCTTGCAGAACATAGCCTCAACCTCAATATGGCAAACAGACTTCTTCTATGTTGTCATGTTCTTAATACTTTTAGGAGTAAGTATTAATAGTTCTTTTTATGCAGCAATTGATATTTCTTCAGTTGAGGCCTTGAGGGTTTCATTATTAAAAAAATAGAGTAAATTTTATAAAGGTATATTTTTTTATCAAATTATTGCAAACTACATATTTAAGATGTTGTATTACAAAACGATAGATTTAACACCAAATTTACCATATTCTTACATATTTAAGGCTAAGTACATCAAAACAACATATTTGATATTAAACTTATCACAAAACTATAAATTTTAGGGTTTAAATCTTTAGCACTATGTTTGAGTTATAAACATTTAAGTTTTATGCTTAAATATGCACTAAAGCTATAGTTTTTTTTTGATAATTTTATTAATAAATCTATAGTTTTGCGATACTCCACCTTAAATCTATAATCTATGATATATTTGGTGTTAAATCTGTAGTTTTAGATACACCATCTTAAATCTATACTCTTGTGATAATTTGAGAAAAAACATATTTTTTGGGAATTTACTGAAAAAAAGGGTATATATGCCATCTGGATTAACAGATGACGAACACACGAGACATTTGTAAAGCATAAATACGAGTATACTAAAAAGGATGTGTATACATTATGTCGACAAAACCGTAGTCTACATGACGTATGAACATATTTTTATTTTTGTTAGTTCTCAATATATTCAATTCCGTGTAGGTACTTCTAACTTTTTATTTTTAACATGCATGTTCATGTATTTACTAAAGCGAACGAATTTAAAAACCAACTCAAAAACATATATGTATTTCTAAAAGCGAACGAACTTAAAACCGACTCATGCACGAATAACGTATCAAATACCGGTAAAAACATCTTAAATTTTTATAATAGTAGAGATATAGCTCTTCCTATATAAAGGAAAAAATCAATAGGACACTAGAAATGATAACTTCTAAGAAGAATCTATCTCGACATAGCATTATCTTCCAAAATAGGGGTGTGAAACCGGTGGTTCACTTTTCGGCGAGTTGGATGGTGGACCATCGACGTGTATTTTGACAAATGTTCAGGTGTCTCATAGCAATTATATCCCATTGTTATTCAGAAAAACAGTAACAAATTAAATGATTGCAGGAAGGGTAGGATTAAGAAAATGTGAGATGGTAGGTGGGGCCATATCAGGCTTGTTCTTAATGATAATGAGCAGGTGGGCCCTTCTGGTTGTCCAGTGAGCGTGCCGGAAATTTAGGGTTGGGGGCTGTTGGCTCAATCAAAGAAACAACCAAAAGGAAAGCCTCAGCAGAAAATGAATAAATATAGTAGCAGTTACTGTGAGTAGGTGTTTGAAGGAATTTTGTAGCAGGGACACTTTGTGACTTGGACATCCAAGCACACATCACATTTAGATCATCTCCAAATCACACTTTGGCAACCAACTTGGCGACGGTGATGCCTACTTTTTATTTGATATCTCCAGGTATTCTTTCCTTTTCTTTTTTCCTTTCTGCAAACGCACTGGAAAATCACTATGCCTGATCTGCCCCTTCCTTTGTTTTCTTATTAATAATTACTACCCTCGTCTATAACTATAAAGAAGCGAATAATAAAAATGGTTTCTTCAACGAATGCACATTGTACCCAAAGGTACTTAAATTCAATATTTTTTTAAAAAAGAAATTAAACCATAAGAGAACTATCAATTATATTTTAATGAATAGGAGTAAAAACCCTAATACGCTTAGAAAAGCCTCACCAATAAGTTCAAAAGAAAAACCCATGACCATCAGGGGCAGAAAATAGCTATGGCTGAATACATGTAATCTCTACAACTAGCTCCGTAATCCCTATTATTATTTTTGAAATGCTACATAATTTATGAAAAAAGAATAAGCTCTCCTTAGCTTAGCTGTATGCTTGAAAGTTTTCTGTCTCGTCAACCTCACGCAATAACACCAAACACCAACCATACACAGCTATTGCATCGTTCCTGTGCTTTGTTGCAAAAACAGTACGTCGTCGTTTCTGAGCTTTGGAGTAGTACCGTATTTTGGGAATTTCTAGTACCGCGGGGTGGTATCGTAAAGTGCAAATGTGATACTCCAGTAGATCAAGGATGTGTTTAGTTTACACCAAAATTAGAAGTTTAGTTAAAATTAGAATAATCTAACAAAAAAGTTTAAAGTTTACGTGTAAAAATGTTTCGATGCGATAGAAAAGTTGAAAGTTATAAGAAAACACCGCGCAAGTAGCAGCAGGCGTTGTATTGTGTGCAGGACTACTGGCCTGCAGCTGATACTGTACTGTAGTATAAGAGCAAGTTTAATAGTATAGCCAACTACTAGCTCTATTTTATTTATAACCAATATAGTAGCTCATTATACAATAGTTATATACTACACTATTAATACATGTTCCTATCTGTCATACACACACTGCGTCTTGGAGTCCGTGCTACATCTGGCTACAAATCTGTAGCCCGCTGCTCTTCTCTCACCTTATTTATTTTCTTAAAATATGTTTGCAGCTGGTTTATAGCATGCTATTGTGATAAAGGAGAGGACCACTGGATACACAGCATTGCACGCAGTTGAAGTCGCATCTGGCTCCGTCTGCTTCGAATACTCTAGAAATACATGCCATACCGTATAGTATACTCTAGTACCAGTATATGTGTATAGCCTCACAAAAGTAACTGATGAGCTTTGATCCAAGAAGATCATCATAACATTGTTATTCTGGGCTTGGCCGGACCAATATTTGTTTTCTAAACAAAAGAAGAAACTATACCCTTGTATAAATGCTAATACACGAAGAAATATTCTCTCCTTTCTAAATTGATCATCATATAATAAAATTCAAAATTAGTCAAATTGATTATAATATAACCGCATTGAAACTGATTTCATCATAATATAATTAATACAACATGAGAGAATCTGTGCATGCTAAGGTATAATTGGTATAGTGTTTTAATCGATGCATGCATTGTGGGAGAATGTGTGCATGTTGTCTTGATTGATGTGATTTAAATTATCCTTTGTTTGTGTGATTGGTGTTTTGATTGATGTGATTTAAATTGCATGCAGCAAAGAGCATGCGGTTTTAACTAATTTGTTTTTTTTCTTTTTCTAGAAACACAACACAAACGTGGACGCTCATAACGTGTACACACTTACCCTTATATACACACATGCATAAACCCCAATTATAAACACTCATAACACGGAGCTATCTCGTAAGCATCTCTAGAAAATTGGGCTCGCATATGTTGAGATTCATGAAGTCACCACAGTGGGTACATCATCCACCACTCTAGTAACCGTGTCAAATATAAAACTTGAATCCGAGTGAATTGTCCTTAATACTCCTAGAAGGAGAAAGAGATAGCAGTTAACGCTGTAGATTTATTCCATCATGTAAGGCCATGTTTAGTTCTCAAAATAAATTTTTCACGCTGTCATATTGAATGTTTGGACACATGCATGGAGTGTTAAATGTAGAAAAAAAACTACACACATTACGTGTAAATTGTGAGACGAATCTTTTAAGTCTAATTGCGATATGATTTGATAATGTGGTGCTACAGTAAACATTTTATAATAATGAATTAATTAGGCTTAATAAATTCGTCTTACGGTTTTTCGGCGTAATCTGTAACTTGTTTTGTTATTAGACTATGTTTAATTTTCAAATGTGTATCCGTAAATGCAGTGTGACAACGAGATCCAAAAAGGAAATTTTTGGTTGTCACATCGGATGTTGGAACAGGTTTTTTACACGAATGAAAAAACTAATTTCATAAACCGCATGGAAACCGCGAGACGAATTTATTAAGCATAATTAATCTGTCATTAGTATATGTGGGTTGCTATAGCACTTATGGCTAATTATGGACTAATTAGGCTCAAAAGATTCGTCTCGCGATTTCCATGCAAACTGTGCAATTAGTTTTTCTTTTTATCTATGTTTAATGCTCCATACATATGTCCAAATATTCGATGTGACGTTTTTTGAAAAAAAAAATTAGGAACTAAAGAAGGCCTAAATTACTCTCGGCCCATGGGCTCCAACAAACAAAGACCTTGATTTCAGGCAGCGGCCCGTAAAATGCAGCGGGAAAGGGGCGGAGGTTGGTCCCACATGTCAGTGACGGTGACTGTTTTCAAAATGGAATACCAACCGCTCTATCCTCTCGCCTCGTCTCGCCTTGCCCGCCTCCGTTTCAATCCCCAAATCCCCTCTTCCCTCCCTCCGATCCCTAGGGTTTACTCCCTCCCCCCGCCATGGCCAAGCCCAAGACTAGGGGGAGGAGGTCGGCCCCCGCGCCACCGCCTCCGCCCACGCCTCCCCCTCCGCCCGCGCCGCCGGCGAACGTGATCGACCTCACCTCCTCCCCCGACGCCTCCACCACCAAGGGCGGCGGCAGCGGAAACCGGACCAAGCGGGCTCCCCCCTCGCTGCTCGACATCGAACTCGACGGGATCGAGATGTGGACCCCGGGCCAGAAGCGCCGCCTCGACGAGGACTGCTGCATCCTCTCCGCCGACCCGCTCTCCCCCGACGTCGTCGCTGCCACCGCCGCCGCCGCCGCGAACGATGACGTCGCCGTCGTCGCCGAGCGCGGCAAGGTACGCCCGCTCCCCCGCGCCCCATTTCGATCGACTCGAGTGTGAGACGCGGGCGGTTTCGATGTTTGCAGGTGGCGTGCCGTGACTACCCCCATCCGAGATCTGCCTGCGCCAAGTTTCCATTCGGCACTACACCCCATGATGATCATTGCGAGCAGGTACCCCTTGCCGCGCATTCGATACTCTCACTAGTTCAATACTACATGTAAACAAACCACCATATGCAAAATTACAGATGTGATAAACAATGCATTTCCATTACAAAATCCTGCAATTGATACTTTCATGTCCATACATCTAGCCATAGAAGATTTTCCATAGACAGGATGGGTATAGAAACACACACAAAAAAAACTCACAATGTGGCTTCTACTTGCAACAAGTTATGGAGTACAATCGTTGCTCGCTCAGTCGTTTGTTACTGCTTGGTGGTTGTGAAAATTTAGGTCCATTTGCCTTTTCAAGTGTTCTAGTATTACACAGATTATGTACAGGAGAGAAAGCACCACTGCACCACAGAATGCTGTCCTCTAACAGTTGTTGTTCACTAAAATTAGCTTACTTTATGTGATCATGCTTTGCTATCAAATTACCTACTAAAAATTCAATTATAATGCTCCTTACTGCAAAAACTAATTGTTTGGGATTTTCTTGTTATGTATATACTAGTGAACTGTTAGCTAGCTTGATCATGTAGTGCACAGGACAGAGCACTAAGGAGCTTACTTTATGTATCTATACCAAAAGTAGTAGGTAACAGCTTACTTTATCAGTCTTTCAAGCATCCATAAACCCTATTACAGTTGCACTACTATTACATAAATAGTAGGTAACAGCATCAGTTTCTGTATATGGTGATTGCTTCCATGTTGCAGTGAGACTGTGAGAGAAGCACCTCCAATCCTTCGTTGCGTATCATGGACAATTTGTCCACAAGAATTCTGAGAGATGGCATGGTTTAATGAACTCAATCACCATGTTCCCTGTTAAATACTGAAATTGAATACTAGTGTGCGTTGTACACTTGTGGTAGAGACGAGCTGCCTTGACATGTAACTAAACTTGCTAGTTTTGTCGAGTATACAACCACACCACTTAAATCAAGCACGCGTGTTGGCGTGTGTCTTTCAAGCATCAAAATGGTCTACTGTGTGTTAGTGAATTGTTGGTTGACATCCATACACCCTATTACAGTTGCACTGCTATTACTTATCTGAATTGTCACCAAACGTGTTCCTCATGTGTTGCAGTGCTTCTGCTACGTATGCGACGTGCCTGCCCCATGTTCCTCATGGAAGGGAGAAAAAGGGCATTGCCATGCGTCGGACAAGGACAAGAAATGGAAGGTCAAGAGAACGGCCAGGCAGAAGCGAACACAAGTAGTCAAGTAGCGCTTACTTGATGGAGAAAATTAGTTGATCCCACGCGGCGCAGGCCTGGGGCTGGCCATTTTTCACTTACCAGTCGGGTTACTGCAGCAGTAATTGTACAGCGTTAGAATATGGAGTTAATTAGTACTCATGTTCCTATATATAGTATCAATGGGTTAGCAACAATAATAGTATATGATATAACTATGGAGAATTATCAGTATCCATTTTATTGTGGCGTCTAATTCCAGCATCAGAAGTGATTCGCGTGCTATGTAATGCTGCGCGGTCACAGTTCACTGCTCCTCCTGCATAGCTCAATCCTCTGTTTTGCTGCAAAAATTGGAATATCGTGTTCCATAGTAGTTCTACTAACATAACGTTGCTCTTTTAACATCTGGATTAATCATTTCCTGTTCTTTAAGTTTTTCCTACTACTGCAATTCAATTGCAGTCTGTTCGTCTACTTTAAACCCCTCGAGATCTGAATATGTTTGCATTTATGATTTGCCGTCCATCTATTTTCTCACTTATTGAGGCTCTTCGTTACCCGGTGTGCCTCTTGGGACTCTGCAACTTGTTTTAAATCAGGCTTGCTATCTGGTGTATATAAATGTAGGGATGAAAACGGTCGGAAACGATCGGAAAACAGCCTCAACCATTTCCGTAACCATATTTTTTCTTAGAAACGATATCGGAAATGATAAAGTCGGAAACGAAAACGATATCGGAAATATCGGAAAACCGGAAAAGGAACAATACAAACGGAAACATGTCGGTACAGATCGGAAGCCAGTAACAAATACAGAAATATTAAACTATAAAAATATATATTTAACTTTACATAAGTATGTTATATGTATACATAAATTCAAGCTTATACTATATAAATTATAAATTAACTTTATTTTAGCCATGTACAAAATTTAGAGATTTGATTGAAAAGTCTGTCAATCTGTAAGTTGTAGGTCAAGTATAGACATACCCTATAAATATCGACATATTTAAAATACGGTAATTACCACATTATAAGAAACGGTAATTTCCACAAGAATACGGTAAATACGGAAACGGTCGGTATAACAGCAAAATCATTTCCGTTTTCATTTCCATATTTTTTACCATTTCCATTTTTGTTTCGGTTGATTACCATTTCCATATGGCTCGACCGGTAGAAAGTCGAAAACGAACGCCGGTCGGCCGGTAATTACCGTTACCGTTTTCACCCCTATATAAATGACCACTTTGTATGGTGATCGCCTTCAAGCAAAAGTGGCCAAGAAACCTCCACAAGAGAAGGGAGAAATGGTGAAGATCGAAGAGGAGATTGATGCTGAGAGTGACGATGACTGCTGCGAGATAGACCCTGACGAGTTCGCCAGGAAAGTTCAGCTCAAAGTATCTGATGAAGTCATCCTGGTAGCTGCCAAAGGGCAGGTAGATATTCTTTCCTATGCCTTGTTGATTTGTTTTGTTCCATCTTCTCCAGAAATCTGATGATCATTGTACCATTGTAGTTCAGTTTAGGTTTTATCTTTCTTTTATTTTGTTGATGCAAAACCTGTGTATCCATCAGACACCTTAGGAAGAATTTTCAAAATACAAAATATGCCCCCAAAATATTTGTGATATGAAACCATGAACCATCGGAACATTTCTCGTGTCATAATCTGTAGATCAAAGTTGATGCGAACCAACCGGAGGGCTTTGGAAATTTGTTGGATCTCTCTGACTCTGACAACAACCTACAGCCGCATCATGAATATGCTGCTGGAGATCGCATGGATCATCCATATGAGATTGATGAAGATAAAACCACTCTAGAAAAGCTGGTTGATGGCGAGGACAAGTACAGAGCTGATGATCTCCAGGTAGACGAAGGTGATCGCTGCCGTGAGGAAGTCATACCTGTCAAGATATCGGTGAAGAGCGAACCTGAAGAACACGGTGTCATTGGGGAAGAAGATGCATATGATCTTCTCCCGGAGATCAATGGCTTCAGTGAGCAGCTGTTCCCTGATGAACGCAGAGTATTTGATGAGGAAGACGACGATGACGTTGTTGTCATCGGGAGAGATTCTCTGTAAACGGGTTCCGTTTCTATGTAATTATCTATGTTTCTTCTTCAAATGAGAATACCATCTTGCGAAAATAAATTTTGTGGTACTGTTTAATTTTTATGTTGTTTACTACACAAATACAAGGGCATGAATGAGCCTCTGATACCTTCTCTTATCTACAATGATGAACATGTAGGTGGCACTGAGAGACTTCCCTCATCCAAGACACTTGTGTGCAAAATTCCCCTTCGATAAGACTTCTCATGAGAGCAGCTGCAGAAAGGTAATTCGATTTTATCCGTGCAACTTCTCATTTTTTCACCTCATCTATCTGCAGACATAATACTAGTTGTGTCGTGTGCTTGCATATTGCAGTGCTATTGCTCTGTGTGTGAAGTTCCTGTTTCCAGTTGTCTCAAGTGGAAAGGATCAGAAGGGCACTGCCATGCAACCAAACTAACCTAGCTATCTCAGAATCCTCCACTTTACGATTGATCTATGCATGATCAGACTGTACTAAGTTCACTAGTTTTTCCTCATGGGTATAATTCTGCCTATCAAGAAAACAAGGTTCATATCGATTTATGCATGATCAGGATTGTACTATGTTCTTGTTTTTCCTGTTGATATAATTCTGCTTATCAAGCAAACAAGGTTCAGATCACAAGTAATAGCTCAGTGCATGGTACTATGCATATTTGTGATGTGCTGAAAAAGACATGTGATTATTTTGGGTAACAAAGCAGCTTGAATCAATTCATGCCATCATTTTTTGGGCACCGGAAGCCCATAATTTTTGCAAGATACATAACTAATTCACCACTGTTTGTCCAGGCGGCATAATTTAGGGGATATGCTGTCATAGCTTCCCCTTTCTTTCGAATGAAAATGATGGCATATCAATGAGCGGCAAGGGGTGGAGTTTTCCAAACAAATTCTCACCCCAGGTGCTCCCAGATAAATTATAAAGTCATTTTAGATGATGCAATACAGATGATTCAATGGCCTGGTTTGAAGCCATTAATTATAGGTGCCCCGTTAATTTCTGGTGCAGCTCCTCTGTTCTTCTTGACGTAGGCAGCGTATTCACCATAGTGCATAGTGTACAAGGTACTCTGGTAGCGGGTGACACGGAGTTTCTTCCTCAAAGAGTCGGTTATGGTACCATTGTAACCTGCCTTCCTCATCAGTGAGTCAATGGTCTCTAGATGTGTCCATCCTGCCAGGTATCAGGCTTCATGTTATGCATAGTTTCATAGAAATGAAGAATGAGACTTATCACTAGGGTGATCCAGGAAAAACTAGATGAACACCATCACCTTCTTTTTTTTGTTCTATCATGCTTCTGAATTTGTATTTTCATCACAATGTATGCAAAAGGTGAAATATCAAGTGAGGCAACTAGATAACTCAGCATGGGAAAATGTTGAACGGTTTAACTGGGAAGATAACAGGATCCATTCAGGTAGTTTTTTCATGCAACGCAGATCGAACATGCTATAGACAAAAAACGAAATTATTCCCCACATGAATTTAACTTTGTAACTGAGAAGAACAATTATTAAAGTGCTTTTAGTGTTTCCTTGTGGTAGTTGCAATAACTAATAACTTAGTGACAACATGTGTAGAAGGTGAAAATGCAGCATTCAGCAGCAATATATAGATGCAAGTAAGTTTTCACCTTCATGGGCAGCAACCTCAGGTAAATAAGTTGCACTGCGCCTCATGTTATAGTCTGGATCAGTGAATTCAATAATTAACCCATGCTTACCCACCTGCAGTACCACAAGATTATTAGAAGAGAGTGAAAGAACGACTAAAACCAATGTGTAGTTGCATACCTCCCAGTCAAGGTGGTTAAGTGCAGTTTCATATTCGGTCAGTATAGATACTGTACACTCCAAATACGGCAGTTCTTTCGACTGTATAGGAGGAAAGCGGCGGTCCCTCAATGCACTGCGAGAGAGTATATTTATCTTTTTGTCTGTCTTGATATAACACAAGGAGTCAACATTACCTAGGTTCTGTTATGTGTAGCACCCCAAAAAAAATTCCTCCAATTGTATTGACAATGAGACCATGTTTCAGTAAGAACTTATAAATGGGCAGCAGTGGTTATTCAGTAGTTACCTTGTGAGCGCATACTCCTTGAAGCCAGTGACAATCTGACGAGCCTCCAAGGTTCCAATGCATCCTCGAAGGCGTGGTTCTGAACCATTGGTAGCCTTCTTCCAGGTGACAAACAATGGGCTGAAGTTTACAAAAAAAAGTAGTCCCATTGAGTTCAGAATTTGGTTGCTCTAGCTAGAATATTGTAACAAGAAATCACAATACAAAAGCTAGACATCCTTAACATGTATCACAATGGTAGAAAAGCATCTCAAATTGAAGGCAGGCTAAACTTAAAAAAAACACACCAGAAAACCGAAGGCATTCTATGCACCCCTCCTAAGTATGGTCAAAAGGGGGAAGATACTGTGTTTGTGACGATTTCTAACACTAACAATTCTTCCTCAAGATAATCTCAACAACAGCAACAAAATTCCCCCCTCTGCTTTCAGAGAGAATGAGACGAAGCAATCCCTCTGCTGAAAGGCAAAGGATACAACCCTCTTGTGAAATGTGGCTGCTTTGCTTTCTCTCTGCAAGAATATACTAATACTAACAGTAGGCCATAGGAAGGCCATACACCAAAATCGGCTTAAGCCAACAAGTAATCGATCTGCGTCGCAGATGACGATGATGATAAATCAAAGCGAACAACACCCTCCAGAAACCGCGAAACCAAAATCAAACAAGAGGCCAAAGGCGGCACCTTTCCCCCCAATCTACCACACCAATTGACCCCCAAACCGCACGGGAATCGCTCGCCGCAAAACCCCCCAAGCTCCCCTTCATCGGGGAAGGCGGACGACGAGACACACGCGCGATCGCGGCGGGAGCGAGAGGAGGAGGGAGGGGGTGCTTACTGGATGCCCTCCTCGAAGGCGGGCGGCGGCGGCTGGTCGCCGCTGTAGTGGGAGACGAGGGCGTCGAAGCAGTAGACCGCCATTTCCTCCGTGGCCACCACCATCCTGTCCTGGCAAGGGGCGGCGACTCGGCGGTGGAGCTCGTCGGAGAAGGCGAGGCAGCCGCCGCTATCTGGAGGAGGATACGGAGGAGAAGCGATGGATGCGCGTCGCGTTGGGTTTGAGGTCAAGTCGTTAACGCGACGAGCTCCTTTTTTTTATTTGGATGGTCTCTTTTGCCCCTTGGATTTTGTGGCATTTACGTGTTTTTTATGGCTATAGGTGGGGACGGGAGGGGTAGATACGGGATTTCCAGTAGATTTATCTGTAGCTAGAGTACACAAATCTGCAAAACTGAGAACAAACGACCAGCGTGTTTCCTTTTAAACAAAAATTTAGCAAACAAAAACAACGCACATGTGAGTGCCAAACTTATCTGGATTCTGGACCCGACACGTCTACGTTTTTGGCAGATGCAGTAGCATTTAGAATGAAATAGTAAGGTCGAGTTTTGTTCCAAACTTTCTTTTAAAACTTTCAATTTTTTTATCATATTAAAACTTTCCTACACACATAAATTTTTAATTTATCTGTTACATCGTTTCAATTTCAAACAAACTTTCAATTTTGACGTTAACGCACCCTAACCCAACTGCACAACAGAACACCAAATCTGAATTCAAAATGATTTGTGTTTACTTTAATCTGGAGGGGAGGGGTAGTTGAGTTTTAACCATTTCATTATCTTCTTCTTCTTCTTCTTCTTCCATGGCTTGCTTCCACCTCTTGCCAACGTTGACATGGATGTAGGATAGTACTATCAGCGTTTCCCTATCACTCTCCCCCAAAATGCAAGCCTGATGCTGACATTTTTGCTAATCCACCTCTGGGGCCAGGCAAGGCAAAGCATGCGTATTATGCAAGCAGCATCCATTTTGGAGAAAAATAGTGTGAGCTAGAAAAATCAAAGTTTTAACATTTGATGCAGAACAAGCATGCTACTACTACTTGTATACTAGTAGCACAATGAAAAAAAGAATCTATCTTGTTCTTAGGTGCGGCTTTAGGTAGGCCACTTATTCTTTCTGACTTAATGCTCCAGATATCACAGTACAGTACCACATCAACCTTTCACAGATGAGAGCGACTCTTGACCCAACAGGATCGAATCCCATCCAACAAAGTAGGATTCATATCTAGTACATATGCACCATCCTGCAACTTGGCACTAACAACATTTTCTCTTCATTTCAATGCGATTTCAGTGGACCACATTCTAAACAGACCAAGATTATATGTCATGTCTCTCATTATCTATAAAAAATATGTCATGTATCTTGAGTGTACACAAGAACCAATGAAAGCACATGAACTATTGCCACTGCCTTATCTAGGAGTAATATCTTCAGTTCAATATGAAATCCATGAAGTATGTAGCATCCTTTTCTGGAACCAAATTTAAGGAATGAAATTGTAACAAACGTCTGAAAGGACTGACAAGCTGGGTAGCTCAGCTGTACTGAACAATGAGCTAGCTAGGCCTAAAAGTAAACAGATGCTATATACAAATGGAAGTCCTACGACTTTCAGCTAAAACGATCAGAAGTTTGAAACATGGTCTGTTTCAATATCTGAACAAAACTCCAGGTTATCTAGGTGAAGTGTGAATGATTCGGCCAATCTGTCGGCGTCCTGAACCCGTAAGCGTGTACCTTGCTGCGCAACGACAATAGCAGCTACTCGCGAAGCGAGCAGGCCAATGCTCTTCAAATCCGAAGAGCCCCGAAGAATGCCATATAGAATCCCTGAAGCGTATGCATCACCAGCCCCACATGTATCTATAGGTACACATGGTGGTGGAGGGATGTATATCGCTTCCCCTTTCACTCCAATGTATGAACCGTGCACACCATCTGTCACGGATACTAGAGGAACAGAATGGCTTAAGTATCTTGCCGCTGACATGGGGCTATCTGTTGAGCTTAGCTCGCAGAATGCCCTCGCTTCATTGGCATTGGCGAATAATATGTCCGCATAGTTTGTTACAATATCCCTGAAAAATCGTTGGTTTATGGTCAGTACAGTACAGTATAGTTCAGAGATGAGATAGTGGCTCACTCCATAATATAGAGAAAGCATACAATTAATACCATAAAAAATATTTTTGGTTTACCATCAGTACAATAAGGTTCAGAGATGAGGTAGTGGTACACTAGCATAATATAGAGAAAATAATACAGTCAACACCCCAAAAAACGTGATGCTAGCAGGAGATAGTTTGCAAGGAGACTAGTCTCACCAAAAATCATTGTAGCAACGCTTGATGCATGACACATCTGATGCTGTAACTGCAATAAGTGAGCCATTCTTATGAGCATCTTCACATGCTTGCTTGATGGCTTCGATCGTGTGAGGTAGCTCAAATAGGTAGCCTTCCACAATTACTACATTTGACTTGGACACTAGACTGGCCAAATCTGAATCATAACTCAAAGTTGACGATGTTCCCTGGAAATACACACACGCAAAAAGGGAACAGTAAGGTCATACTCCTATATTAGTGCCAGCAACACTTCTATATAGTTGTCCAGTAAGTAAATTATACACGGTGAATGTTCAATGAGTCAAAAAGTACAGCTAACAAGTAATAAGACCTGTCAAGTAAAGTTGATATCTGATGGTGGTTCTCATTGATACATTCATACTAAAAGCAGACCTGGTTAAACTACTCATCTTCAAAAATTAAAATTTAGTCTGATATTGCAACAGAAGTCCCTAGAAGGGGGAATAACAACCCTGAAGTACAAACATATCAACTGACCTGATATGCAAGCATAGTTCGTTGTGCATCTGGAGTTGTTAGAACAATCACAGTTCCAGTAGTCCCATCTTTGACCGGCTTAGACAAGAAATGCAAATTAGCACGGCGCAATTTTGCCCTAATAGAACAATTCAACCAACAGTGTGATGTCAGCCAACACTCTGAAGCTTCTAGTGCAGCAATTAAGACATCAGTACGTGCAAAAATATGTTGTCAAACTAGTGAACTACCTGTAAAAACTACCAAGTGGGTCGCTGCCCACACTGCCAGCCATCGCGATTCTAAGCTCGGGGTAGTTAGTGGAGCGGCTACTACCAAGCCTTGATAGCGCGACAAGCGAGTTGGACAGTGAGCCTCCAGCGGCAGCCTTGTAGCTGCAACCATCCATGGCGCGCAAGACACGCCCTCTCTCCTCGTGGTTGACAACCTTTCTGGTACCCTTTTGTATGCCCAATCTGTGAAGGAACTCGTCGTCCACCATCCCTGAGAAATCAACCTGTTTGCAGGCCAAAATCCCAGCCACAAATTAGCATTGATCACAACAGCTCAACAACCTATTGAAACAGAAAGAACAACATCATAGTGATAATTATTTCCAACACAAACACATAGGAAGAAAGAAGCCGTCTTTTTATTAAGCGTTCATGCAGGTTGCACGCACACGAGTAGTGAGTGGATACAGTGGCGACAGTTGAGCCAAATTAGCCGTTTCGAATTCGACATTTCTACCATAGGAGAAGTAATTTTCTTGTATGCGAGTACTGGTTCCTTGCAAATGTTCATCGATCAGGAACACGAAGTAATTAATGAATGAATCAATAATATAGATTTATCTTATTTAGAGTAGAATTGAAGAAGATGGGGGCGTACCATGGCCTGGCCGAGGCCGAGGACGTCCCAGCGCTCGGGGCCGGAGGGAGGCGCGTGGAGGTCGAGGTTGACGTCGTCAGCGTCGAGCGGGCGCAGGACGCCATGGGCATCCTCCTCCTCCTCGTCGTCACTCTCAGCCGCATCGGCATCCTGGAATCCTCCTCCGAGGAGAGCTCTCGGCAGCAGCAGCACCACCGCCGCCGCCCGGTGCTCCCACCGCACGGCGAAGCGGCTGTGGCCGCGTGGCCTGGGTACCCGTCGCCGGCAGGGTCGCGGCAGAGAGGAGGAGGAGAAGCGGTGGAGGAGGCGGGAGGAGGAGGCGAGCGCCATTGTTGCGGAGGAGAGGATGGCGATCGATGCCGTGGAGCTCCCGCGGCCGCCCACCCCAACCTCTCGTCTCTTCTCTATCTATCGCCACGCATCCCGACCTCGCCGGTAGCGTGGGCCCCACCTCTCAGTGACTCTGTAATGGGTAGGCGTGGCGGTGGACCCACGTAATGGGCTACGCTGCCTGTAAATATTCGAGAAAGGAAAAAAAAAGAAGAAACGGGTAATTCGGAACGGGATTGTCACTAAGTCCGGCCCATGGGCCATGAGTAAGTCTAACTGGGCCCATTTTAATAGAGAGATCCGTGTCACTAAGAGTGGGAGTAAGTTTGCTTTAGGTCCATCTTTGAATTATGTCTTCCAACCGCAATATGAGATGTAGTGTGTTTCTCAATTTGCAAAACTGATTTACCCGAAAATCTAGGGCACTAGGGGGACAGTATAGTGTCTAATTTTGGCTGTCGTGGTGAGTTTCCCCCACATGTTGACGGCAGAGAGACACAGGGTGGGTGGAGCTGTGGAGGTGATGCTGGACCGGCAGGTCGCCAACGACATATTCTCCTATGATGCAGAGGTGGTGAGGGAGTGTCCGCACAGCAGGCGCGACACATCATCGACGAGACACCTAATGCTCATCCCCAACCATCCCCTCCACTAGGCTATCCACGAATGGCGCCTCCGTCACGCCATACAAAACAAGTGGCCTCTTGGTGGCTGCTTGCCACCCTCCAGTCGCACACCCCTCGCACCATAGGCCGTCGCCCTTCTCCCTACCACTCATCACCTCTTGTCACTGCTCGGAGACCTAGTGATAACTGGGGAAGATGGGGGAGACAGGAGGAGGAAGAACATCGCCTACAAATCTACCACACTTCCAATCAATCGTAACCATCAGCCCCCTCCAAGTTGGTAGCCATCCTTCTCCCCACCACTCATCACCCTCTCGTCACTGCTTGAAGAAATGGTGACAAATAGGGAAGATGGGGGAGAGAGAGGAGGAAGAACGTCGCCTACCACCCTTCCAATCCATCACGACCATCGCCCCCTCCTCCAAGTCAGCACCCCGCATGCCTTTCTCCGCTCACCACCTTCTTGTCGGCCACCTCCCCCTTTTTCCTCCCGCTTGCTGCTCTCCCATCGGCTGCCGCTTAAAAGTTTGGTGAGAATCTGAGAGATAGGGAGTGGGAGGAGAATAGTTGGCAGTATGCTTATTTAAATACATACTTATTTACTTGATTCAAACATATTATTATATATTTCTTTTTTGCCATGAAAATGCTTGGCCACCATATTGGCAGTGTTTAGTTCCATTCAAACTTTTAAAAACTCCATCACATCAAATGTTTGGACACATATATGGAACATTAAATGTGGACGAAAAAAATTACACAGTTTACATGTAAATTGCGAGACGAATCTTTTGAGTCTAATTACGCCATGATTTGACAATATGATGCTATAGTAAACATTTGCTAATGATGGATTAATTAGGCTTAATACATTCGTCTCGTAATTTACAGACGGAATCTGTAATTTGTTTTGTTATTAGCCTACATTTAATACTTCAAATATATGTATGTATATTTAAAAAGAAAATTAACACACGAACTAAACACGGCCATTACGCTGAATGCATATATGCAGCCAGCCAGCAGTCAGTCAGCAGTTGGAACCGTATTGATTATGTTGCTGCTCCATGGATGGATTGCATTTACTACTGTAGTGTAACCTTGCCTATAGCCAGTTGTCTGCCTGCTCACGCAGCATATTCATTCATCGCTAATTAACTCATCGAGAAGGGGAGTATAGGTAGCTGGTTTACTTCCCAACTTTTTCCTTTAAAATTTTAATTTTTCTATCACATCAAACTTTTCTACACACGTAAACTTTCAACTTTTCTATTACATTGTTTCAATTTCAATCAAACTTACTAAACACACCCTTAGTATAAATCTGGAGAAGGCGAGGCAAGTGAATACAGTACGAGTGTACGACTTTTCATCTACTATCAGAGAATCCAGAATATCACCGGTTCATCATAAGATCCCAAATCTCATGGGGGAAATTCTCAACAGAATATCTAGCCCAGTTTAGTTCACACCAAATTTTCTCAAACTCTCAACTTTTCATCACATCACATCTAAAACTTTTCTACTCACATAAACTCTTAACTTTTTTTTCTAAACTACCAATTTTCCCCAATTTCAAAAACTAAATACAGCCATAATCACGTTCGTTCGTTCGAAATCCTCAACAACAGAAGAGGCCGGCCGGGTACGAAAAAGGTCAAAAGAGTGAGGAGACGACACTTGACAGCTGCATGCATATGAGAGCGAGATGTCCTCCTATGAAATACTATGATGTCATCGTCGTTGTGTGCCATACTTTCCGTTGTGTTGGTTGCGTCAGGCCTCAGCCGGCGACCAACACATGCATGCATGGCATGCGCGTTGACTTTTTATTTTGTGTGTGTGTGTGTTGGTTGGCGGTCAATGCGAAAGAGGCGACACATGTGAGTTGGGCCAACCAATGGCCATGCATCATCTGATCACTCGAATGAATCTCAGTGCAACTAGCACTGTGTGGTTACGGATCGGTTATCTGACAACATATATATGGACCCCCAACCCTCTTGATCTGGTTGTACATTTGTAGGCCATGCATCGTCCTCTATTGGAGTACTAGGGTCCGTTTAAAAGACCTATAACTATTAAATTTAACTTAGAAGTTAGATATAGAGTGTAGCTGTGGAGAATCATAAACTCATTTCCATATCTTTAGCGTTTTGTTGGAGCGCTGCACCCAGTTTCACTCCTATTTTAGTTGGAGTTGAAACTGTTTGGTTAAGCTCTAACTACAGAAGAAATAGAGTTGAAGCTAAAGTTATGCCAGAAAGGTCCCTAGTATACTCTTGCATGACCGAGATCATTTAAGCTACGACTATATTACTCATGAACAAAGAAAAAAACTGAAAGTAATTTATAAATAAAAGTTTTATACTTATATTTGTTATTAATAAAAAAAGACTACAACGGAAAAAAAAAGCTAACATAAACTCTCAAAGATATTCTTTTTTAAAAAAATATTTTTTTTTACTACTCATGTTATCTAGTAGTATGATTCTATAACAAATTAAAAAGCAGATGAATTGAACATTATAAACCTTCATCTTTGAAATAATAATATATATATCCATAATATAAATTTGCACATTTGTCTGCTGGATCGGGTGGACAGTTCGGCCCACCCGGGATGTGGTCGGGCCCGGGCCCTGCCTCCGTGTTTCTCAGGCCCACCACCGCCCATGCACAGGGACCAACCAAACACCAGCAGCTGACCCTCGCAGCGGGTCCCACATGCAGGGACAGGTGGCAGCCCTCGGAAATCGCAGCAAGAGGTCGCAGGCGGTGGGTCCCACAGTAGTATATTTTATCGGTCTCGGGACGGATGAGATGGTCACGTGATGGGCCTGGAATCCTGGCCCGGGGCCCCACCACCAGCCTCACCACCTCTGACTCACCTCCGTGTTCACACCCGCTCCCGGCTGCGTCGCTGCCATGTGGGCCCCACACTGGCCGCCTGCCGAATAGCCTCGCTGGTACGTGTCCGTCCAAAGTAGGCAGGCTGCAGCAGGCGCCACTTTTTTTTCTCTCTCTTTTGTAATTTCTTTTTTCCCGCGAGATTATTATATTTAAAAAAATTGGGAAGGGTAGACGTCGTGGAAAAGAGGCGAGATGGCGCGAGTGAGAAAGCCGAGACGGACAGAGCAAAGGATAAACAAGAAGCAAAAAGAAAATCAATTTGAACTGGCTGATTGATTCCTCCTGCAAGCACGCCCAAAAAGACAAGCCCTTTTTTAAATTATTGTAATCACAGTGGTAGGAGTACTAGTCCCAAGCCATCAATACTCGACCACTTTACTTTATCCCAATTTCCTGCATTTTTTACTAGTAGGAGGAGTACTTGTTACTGGTACTACTGTAGTACCACCATTATATACTTGTACTACTAGTAGTACTATATGGGTCAGTTATTGAATTTTTTTTTTTTGAATTTTGAATTGAATGGGGGCGGCTGGGTTTTAAAATGAGTAAATAGCAAATACTTAAACAGGAGGAAACTGAAAGCTCTTTTGAATTTTCTATTGTTAGCGGTGGTGGGATGGAGTAAAAAGTTGGGAAAGGAAAGCCAGTGATGGTTTTTATGACTTGCATCTTCACGAACTCCGAGCCAAAAATGCTTTCCCCCCCCCCCCCCCCACCTCCTCTCCTCCCCTTTTTATTTATTGCTGCAGTAGCCGTGTATGTGTGTGAGAGAGAGAGTGAATGCTGGTGTGTACGCATAACAAATTTCCTTTCTCCACCCCCTTCTTCATTACTACTACTACAGCTACTATTCGTAGCAGTTGCTTTACCTTTAATAATTCCTTTCCTTTCCAGTAATTTCCCTGCTATTTTCTTCTCCTCTCTGCCTTGCTTTGCTTCTTCCTCCTCCTCCTCCACCTTTGCCCTCCTGCATTTTGCTTGCAAAGGATAGGAGTTGCAGTACTAGTATTGCTCTCTCATTGCATGTGAAGCTAGCAAGCAAGCAAGCAAGAGAGAGATTCTAGGTGAGTGGTGTTTGGTGTGAAGGGAAGGAGCATGGTGATGGTGGCATGGCTGATCTGCTGCTAATAGCAAGGAGTAGTAGTAATAATAATACTACTAGTCACTCATCATCCTTCTCCCTCCCTTGAGCTTAGCTATAGGTAGGTAGTAACACTACTGCTCTACTACATCCTACTCCTAACTCCCACCTAATAATAATAATCTCTCTCTCACACATCACATTTCTGTTTAAAAAAAAGTCAGCATGGCTATCCATCAGGGGGAGTAGTTTAATTAGGGAGCGTTTTTTCTTGCTTAATTCGCAGTTAATCTTGCAAGTGGTCTTTGCTCTTGCAGAGTGGAGAAGAAAGAAAGGAGAGTAGTCAAAGCGACTCTTTCTTTGTTTTCTTGCGCTTCCTCCTCGGCTGAGCTCAGCAGCAAGCAAACCTGCTCCTGCTACAGCAGCGAGCGAGCGCTAGATCTGACCAAATGGAGGCCAAGGACGTCTCGCCGCTCGTCACCGTCCCGCCCGCGCCCGCCGCCGCCGCGCCGCCACCTGCGGCAGCGCCCGCGCCGCCGCCGTCCCAGCCGCCGCCGCCGCCGCTGCCGTTCGCGCAGCAGGCGCCGCCGCCGGCCGCCAACCCCGCGGCGGCGCCCATGCGGCTGTCGTTCGACCAGATGGCAGGGAAGGCGCCCGGGGGGGAGCAGCAGCACCACCACCACCCGGGGCCCATGCTGTACGCGGCGGCGCCCGCGGGCGGCGCCGCGCCGCCGCCGCAGGGCGGCAATGTGATGGGCATGGGCGAGCTGATGCGCAAGAAGCGCGGCCGCCCGCGCAAGTACGCGCCCGACGGGAGCATGGCGCTCGCGCTCGCCCCCATCTCCTCCGCCTCCGGCGGCGCCGCGCCGCCGCCTCCGCCGCCAGGGCACCAGCCGCACGGCTTCTCCATCAGCAGCCCGGCGTCGGATCCGAACGCCAAGCGCCGCGGCCGGCCACCCGGCTCCGGCAAGAAGAAGCAGTTCGAAGCCCTAGGTAGTACCATTTTCCTCGGAGAAAAACAAAAGCGCCTTTTCTTCCCCCGTGGATTCCGGCTGAATCTAATCCCAAACTGACGCTTTTGCCTTCAAATCTTGCAGGCTCATGGGGCATCGCCTTCACTCCTCACATCCTCACCGTCAAGGCCGGCGAGGTAAACCCAGATCTCAAAACAAAACGATTATCTTTTCTTCCTTCCTTCCTCCTCGATCCATCCGTGCAGCCAGCCATTGCAGAGTCTGCTGCTGCTGTACAGCAAGTGGTGATGGATCTATGTCTGCTTTTCCTGCGGAGTGGATTTGGTGCACGTACTAACTCCACTCCACTCCACTCCAGCCATGACCATGACCATCACTGGTTAGGTTGGAAAGGAACCAACCAAGGTTGCGAGACGAGGACGAGCTGCGGTGTCCGTCAGATTCCCAGCATGGCTGTCAGTTGACCGGCCCCGGCCCCACGGTCAGCGGCACAGATAGTGGGCGATGCACCTACGTTGTCGTGGACTACGTGTAGTAGTACTCCTATCATCAAGTACAACAAGCCTTCTCTGGCTGGCTGTGTAGTAGTACGCTGTCCAACAGCAAGTAGTAGTAGTAGCCACACCTGTGGACTGTGACTGTCCACAACTCCACACCTGCACTGTCTTGTTCATAGTCGGATACAATTGCCTCTACTGATAGGAACTAGGAGCACTCGCCTGCAGGAGTCTCCTGTTGTGGTGTGCTTAGAGTTCCATGTTTACTGCGCATCTGAAAAAAATGTCATCTTCAGTTGTGTTATCTTGCACTGCTGAATTTTCTGTTATACCTGCAACTGACTGAATTAAAGCACACTTGATCATACGATTTTCTTAATATGTTTAGCAACCTTTTTGAACTTGTCATAAAGTAAAATTTTTATATTTGTATCCAGATGAATTTGCTGAAGGAATTACTTTAGCCAAGTATGAAAAGACCTGTTTTTTTCCCCGTGTAACTCTCCTAAATTAGATAGAAGTGGATGCAATGGGCTGATTGTTCATACAAATTTAAATGGATTTGCTTTTCCTGAAAGTATCTGAATTTGTATGAGCTGTCAGGCATAACAATTCAATTGCAATTTCAAGCTATTCAGGATTCTTAGATACAGATACTTCAATTATATCACAACTTGGGTTTTTTTCTTCTGATATCTTCAATTCTGCATCTTCTTTTTTTTGGGGGTTTTGGTGCAGTTATATACTTTCCTTAGTGCTTACTAGGTGTCTCTTTTGAATGCAATGTGAGTTGTGATTATAGTACCTTTGTGTTGCAACTAGACTCTTTCTTCATGTTTAATCTAGTGATTAACCCACTTGGCAATGTTGGTTATAGTAAAAACTTGATTTCCATCATTAACTGTCTACTGTCTTCGCTGACAGGATGTTGCTTCAAAAATTATGGCCTTCTCACAGCAAGGCCCTCGCACAGTTTGCATTCTCTCAGCGAATGGTGCAATAAGCAATGTAACACTTCGGCAGCCAGCTACATCTGGTGGACTTGTGACTTATGAGGTATTTGTCTTGTGACTTATCTTTGGTGCACTTTAAGAATTGGGCTTAATACTTCTCATTTATGTGATCACAAGTGGGTGTGGTTCTGTGGGGGTTATTGTTGCACCTGTATCTTAGAAATAAAAGGGGGCTTCTCAATGATGTATAGACTGTAGAATACATCAGTTTTGTTTTGTTTTGTTTTTTTTGTTTCTAACAGTGGTATGGCTATAGTAGAGAAAGACCAGGTTCTGGAGGAAACTAATTGTGCCTTTTTGTTAACTAGAACACCCAGTCTTGTTCTGTTGGAAGTTTCAGGAAATCTGTTGATAATAGCCACTAGTGTAGCACTATGGATTCATCTAACTTCAAGTTCTTTTGTCGTGATTAAACCAATGAATGTGAAAAAGAAAATCAATAATGCTACTACTTTGACAGTACACAATTATTCATGTACCTGGAGGAATTAGCTCTGTGAATTGTGCATGCTTTAGTTATTTCCTATTAGCAAAAGTAACTACTGTATCATGTTCTGATGAATGCGTATTATTTTGTGCAGGGCCGATTTGAGATCATCTCTCTATCAGGTTCTTTCCTGCTTGCAGAGGATGGCGACACTCGCAGCAGGACTGGTGGCCTGAGTGTCGCACTTGCAGGATCTGATGGCCGAGTTCTTGGTGGATGTGTAGCTGGAATGCTGATGGCCGCAACCCCTGTCCAGGTTCGATTTCGTTCTGTATAACGAGTGTCACAACTAACGCATCTGTTCCAACTTCTTAATGCTTACCGGGCATTTCTGCCATCATGTCATATGGCTACCAGGTTGTCGTGGCTAGCTTCATCGCGGAAGGTAAGAAATCGAAGCCAGTCGAGACAAGGAAGGTCGAACCGATGTCAGCGCCTCCACAGATGGCAACCTACGTGCCAGCTCCGGTGGCGAGCCCGCCATCGGAGGGCACATCCAGTGGATCGTCCGATGACTCGGGCAGCCCGATCAACCACAGCGGGATGCCGTACAACCACTCCGGGCAGCAGCAGCAACACCAGCAGCACCAGCACATGCCCCCTGCTTACGCATCCGGTGGCTGGTCGCTCTCAGCTCATCATCAGAACAGGCACGACTCTGACATGAAGATGATGTCGAACTAACACTCTGCTCGGCCTCGAGGCGCCCCATTTGTTTGGTTGGGCTGAAGAAGGAGCTGATGATGGATGGTGGATCGTGTTCGTACCCCCCTCTGCTAGCTAAGAGATTTAGGACCATGGTGATGAATGATCTCAGAGAGATGTGTTGTTGCTGTTGTTTTTCCTTGGAGTAAGATTAATTTAGGCGCTGTTGTAACGCTGTAGCTGTCATAATTAAGCCGCCTCTAACGCAAGAGTTTATTATGTGTTGTACTACCGGTGGATATGCCTTCTGCTTGTCTGTCTTGCTGAGATCTTCACCTCCTTAGTAGGCTAGTAGTAGTCTACATACAGACTTGTATGAATTTACCTGAATGCTTTGATTTCAATTCGAGAACTTTTACTAGGTTGTTTCTTTTTCTTGTTCTGATCCGCTGTGTTTGGGAGATGAATGTTTGTGTTGCTGTGCTGGTAACACTGTTTACGGTGAAATTCATGGGCTGTTTTTGTCACGGCGATAAGGGATCCACGCCAGGGAGTATGCCTCAACTTCAACTCAAGCATAATATGTTTTCAGCTGCTTCGTCGGAATATTACCGTGCAATATTTGTTCGGCGTCTCTAAACGTAGTTTTATTGAATTATTTTTCTTCTTCTAAATTATTTATATCCCTTTTTCTATACTGGTCGATATTTGTTAAATTTATTTATAAAAATATTTGATATATATCTATAATCATAATCATATGTAGATAGATAACTATAATTATTTCAAAATGGGTCACTATAAGAATCCGATCGATGGTTTGTCTCGAACTGAAACCTCTCGGTCACAAACATCAGACCTACTCCCTTCGTCCAAAGAAAATATCTATGGACAATTTCAAACTGTCAAATTGATTTTTTTATGTGATGGCTTTGAATCTACATACAGATTTAAATTCAGAAGTTTTTTTTTTCTGGTGCTGTGAGAATATTAGAGCCCCTTGGTTGCCCTAATAAGTCGAAGCCAAAGCCAGAGCCAAAATTTGAATTTTTAAATTTAATTTTAAAGTTAATTTGAAGATATTTCCAATATAGTTTATTTTTAAAATTAATTTTAAAATCGCTAAGAACACATATATGAATGTTTTATCTATGCATTGATTTTTTTAAAAAAATAAATCGTTTAGCTTGTTATGAATACGAGCAACCGATGAGTAACTTAAGCTTTATCTTCTTATCTTGGCCCATCTCTTTTATCCAGGCTGAGTTTGGCCCGGATGAGAAGATACACACAAAGTTATTTGGTTGGTTGTATTGGTTTAGCATGACTAGTATGGGATGTTGTTTGGTTGCTTGCATAAAAGATATGGTTTGAAAGAAATTTTGTTTGGTTGGATGTATGGATTGGGTGCAGATACCTCTTTATTTAGTTGGGTGAGGTTACCTCTTCAATGTTATATGAAAAAAAAATTACCTCTCAAATGTTATATGAAATATTCTGAGTAAATTGTACTACCTCTATCCTCTAATATAAGGGATATTCACTATTTTCATATAACGTTTGACCACTCGTCTTATTCGAAGAATTTATGCAAATATAAAAAACGAAAAATTATGCTTAAAATACTTTGGATAATAAAGTAAGTCACAAATAAATAATGATTTTAATTTTTTTCGAGTGGTCAAACAGTGCAAACAAAATATCAAAATCTCTTATATTAGGGGACGGATGGATTACTTTGCATCATGTTGCCTCCAAATTAATTTCACTTATCTAGATGTAAACAATTGATCAGGACGATTAGGGTTCAAAATCGTGAAAAGAAAATTATTTTGACCCAATATGACCGATGTATGGTAACTAACCTGAACCCCACGAGTATATATCCAGTCCAAACTCCAAACGCACTTGACTTCCTCCTCGTCATCGCTGATTGCATTCGCTCCGAGATGGCCACGCCGCCTCCCACCGACTCCGACCAGGTTCGTCCGCTGCTTCCTCCTCCTTCGCCGTTCACTCCCGCGTTCGATTCCTGCTTCTTTTGCGCTCCGCCTCGTTGGGCTCACGGATCCAAGCCCAATCAACCATCCCGCGAATTAGCTGCTGCTTTCCCTCATTCGATTCGCTCATACTCAGATTGATTGATCCAGTTAGGTTGTTTTAACATGCTCGATTGCGTCTGTAGCAGCAATTTGATCGATTCCGCTAGGTTTGCTTCTCCCCTCTAATTTGATTGCTGATGCGACTGTGTACAACTGTAATAGACAATCGCCCATGGGTGGCTTTTTCTTAATCACCACCATGAATGTTTTATTAGTCCTTAATCACCGTGGCGATTATAGGCGCATACATGGTCATATTTCATTCATTGCTAATTTCTATACTCTTGTCGTAGTTCACAGGCAATTCAGAAATTCGACTAGTTTACTGCAAACAGATTATGCTAATTACTTGTTACATCTGGGTAGGTCAGTTTTATCTCGGGGTTCAACTTCAAACCATTCTGCCGTAGAATTTCTACAGATAAAAAATAATAGCACTGTCTTGTGTTTGACGACCAGGATTGTTTCCGTATCCTCTGTTCGTCTCAACTGGCCTCAACAACACAACTATTTTAAGGAATATATAAGCAGCATGGAGAGTTTAAACTCCATTCTAATTTGGTTCGGTTTTGTCTGTTGTGCGTGTAATTAGGCATTTAAATTTCCTATTTCATGTTCGTTGCCAAACGGCCAAATGGCTACACTCTGGTATTCGATGTAACAATTTTATCATATCGGGAACTGTTGTTATGATCTGTATCTTCTTCGTGTGCTGTCTACTACAAGTCTTCTCTGTACAATGTCATACTTTTTATGATTGGTTCTACCTGCTACTGAGAATACCTTCTGCTATTTCTCTGTTTGCCAGGTTTTGGTAGAGGCAAATGGTGTAACACGGACATTGCTTATGAATAGGCCAAAGCAGTTGAATGCCCTCTCCTCTGCAATGGTATGACTTCTAAAGAAAAAAAGTGACAATGAGTCAATAAGTAATGGAGCATATATGGTATTCGTGGCTACATATAGGGTGCAGGAACACTGATACGAGAAATTTATTTTTGCTTTCATTTTCTAGATAACAGGATTTTTGAGGTGCTTCACTGCTTATGAGGAAGATGAAGGAGTTAAACTATTGATTGTGAAGGTAATGATCGTGTTTGAGTCCTACAATAATGAAATATCTGATGTGGTCCATATTTAAACAATGTATTTTGAGGTTTATCTTTGATTAAAAAAAAGAATAACGAGGTACTAGCTAACATCAAACATGAATTACCCGATTAAATTTCCAAAATCGAGCATTCAAAGTTTCATCCGCTTATTGAAGTTTGAATCATGTACAACCAAGTTGTAGTAACGTAAAACACCAATGCTGTCCATGCTTTTTGTTGCATGCTAACTGTCCTTTTGCCATTTGTAAATGTAATTGATTTTCTGTTGCTGATATATGAGTCTTGACTTATTGGGATAATTCCAACTTTACTACCTCCTGCTGTTACCTTTACTGCTGCTGTTTGTGCTCAGCTTGATTTCTATAACTCCCTACCATTCTTGTCATCACTTGTTTTTTCCTTTGTCAGGGGAAAGGAAGAGCATTTTGTGCTGGTGGAGATGTTGCTGCAGTTGTCCGGTCTATAAATAATGGTAAATAAAACATATCATGCATCCATGAGACCCTGATGTCAAATATCTTGAGCTTCCATGCTGTTTTTCTTTAACTTCCATTGCCTTTCCATTTGCTATATGCTAATTCACTGTTAACATGCAATATATAGAGAATTTTGTTCTTGACATTTGATTAGTTCTACTATGCATTTCTTATATCAGATAGCTGGAAATATAGTGCTCATTTTTTCCGAAATGAATTTCTGTTGAACTATATCATTGCAACATATAACAAACCTCAGGTGAGCTATCGCTATTGCTTTGAAACTGCTTGTCCACATAATTGTTATTGTCATTATTGCTCAATGCTTACCACTGAATGCTACAACACTCTTATCTAGGTTTCACTTCTCACTGGAATTGTCATGGGTGGAGGTGCCGGTGTTTCTATACATGGAAGGTTCCGAGTTGTCACAGAGAGCACGGTATATATTACGGAACAAACTCTATATGAAGCTTCCATTTTTACTTAAATATTTTCAAAAAGGATGTAGCAGGGGTGCAGAAAAAAGCTTGCTTGATTCTTTTCATGGGATAAACAGCTTACCAGCATATGCCTAGAGTTTGACTCTGTATTTTTACTACTATCTATGCAGGTTTTTGCTATGCCAGAAACAGCATTGGGTCTCTTTCCAGATATTGGGGCCTCATATTTTCTATCTCGACTTCCTGGGTTCTATGTGGTGAACTATTTTCCTATCTCATATCTCCTTTATTCAACTGAACTTTCACACATGATCATATGAATTCTCTTTGCAATGTCTAAAACTGATTATTAATACTGAAAGCCCCATGTGCTATGCATCCTTGAGTGCTTATCATATTATTACATGACTTTAAAATGTGTGGGTGTGGAAATATATGTGGCCACTCTGTTTCTCCCATCATCTTAATAAATTTTGACCAAACCTCCATCATGACCTGGTAAAAAGAAAGAAATGTATGTGGCCAGATTTTTTATTGCCTGTCCACTAGGATTCATCTGTTGAATTTTGATATAATTGTAAATTAGTTATAATTTTACACCATATAAGTTATAGGTTGATGGGAGACTATCTTTGGAGATCGTTTTCACTGATTTGTTGTTATGTCTTTCTCAGGAGAGTATGTTGGTCTTACTGGTGTAAGGTTGGATGCTCCTGAAATGCTTTCTTGTGGCCTGGCCTCATTTTGTACCTTCAGATGAAAAAAAAAACCCAAAGTCAGCTAAGAGTAAAACTTGTTTTGTGAAGAAAATAGTTAAGAGTAAGATGAAAATTGTATAGAGTTTTGTAAACATAACGTTTTTTTTTATTTTTGAAAGTATTACTAAATAGGAATTTCTCCCTTGGCCAACTAGAAAAGGGGTGGGGCGCCTTTTTTGTCTTTTCCTACAGTCGTATGGCTCTGATACCAGCTCTGTGGACCCCCGTTTTTATAACAGGAATCAATCGTGTGAACAGTACCATTTCCCTGGATCAAGTAGTCTGGTACACACGAGTTCATAGCTGAAATACCAAATGCACATACACGAAAGTCTAGTGCGGATTATTACATCATAAGCCCGCAGGCATAGTCTTAGATCATCAGACCGAGCGGTCCGGAATACATTCCAAAAGCAGAGTAGATAAGGCAGCGGAGTTTAGGCAGCGGCACGCCATTGCCACAGGCAACGACCGTAACTAAGACCTATTGGGCGCCATCGTCTTCATCACCCTCCTGGTAGTACGCGTAGGGATCCTCCGAAGCTTCGTCTCCGGCCTCTGATTAAGTTTATATATTGCAAGAGTGAGTACCAACCGTACTCAGCAAGCCATCACAGCAACAATGCACATGATAGGGGTATTCAAAGGATGGCCATGGTTCTTTGCGCAAAGCCAGTTTTGTAATTCTTTTCACAAGCCTAAGACCCAGCATTGACTGATCAAATTTTAGTACCAGTGTTCACAGTTAAACAACGACGGTTCTGTCTACCATCCATTGTGATCCCAAGGATAGCTTCCCGCCATTGAGTCGTCATGGTTTTCTGAGGACGTCCACCTTCCAGCCTCTCAGGAAGTGGCTCCAACAGCATAAAAATCATCATGCAATATCCCATCCCACACAAGTCAAGAATTTTGAGTCTAGCCAAGTGTAATACACGTCCCGGTGCTCAATAACCGCGAGCACGGCTATTCGAATAGATTTGGTTTACTCACACTGCAGTGGATGTACACTTTACCCGCACTCCGTGACTGCCCAACACATGAGCCTCGTCCCAACACATAAGACGCGTCACGACAAAGGTTTTCGATAACCCCGCATTGGCAGTACCCGCTCCATGAACTTAAATCCTCATGCACTCTAGGCGTCCATGTTTCTAGCAGTGAGAGGAGTTCTGGCGCTCCCGGGAAAGAGAAGTCTCACACACATATTAAATTATGGTTCAAGTTAAATTCTCTCTCTCATACACTCATGGCAGTCCTACCAATGGCGACACCGATGTAGGGCACGCCTCTCGGCCCTACCTCAACGCCTGTCCCACCGTAGCGCACCTGCCTCACTCAGGGGTGAACCATCTATGCAGGGATATTGCCTCCGCTCGGCTATCTAATCCGCTAGGTCTATACCCATACGAGAAGTACGGTTGTACGGGGGTCGTTTCATGCTTAACTTCATGGCTCAGTCCTTAATTGACCGGGGACGGTACTAGCCTTTTCCAGATACCACCCAAATCCTCCGTCCGCCCCAGTCGAAAACAATTGTTTAATTTTGTTTCTCCTTTCACAAATCATGTCATCAACATCATGGCAATGTGGCGCTCATGTCTCCACATGCCGCATCTCAATTACCTGCCCAAGCATATAGCATTTGATAAATATGAGTATGCATGATTCTAGAATAGCATTTTTAAGCAATTGTCATACTTGACTAGGGACTCATACGTAATCATGGTTACAAGGATTTTAAGGGTAAACAATAATCAAGGCATGGCATAATAACAAGTAGGATGTTTATCATTGCATGCAATTTTATTTGTAAACAAAACAATTTCGCAATTGGGATCAATATGTTCAAGGAATAGTGATGACTTGCCTTGCTCGTAGTCCTGCGGGTCTTGACCCTCGTTCGGATCCGCAACTCCCTCGGGTTCTAAAATTACGTGCGAGGAAATGATTTGAATTCAATTAGAATTCAATTAAAATCTAAATAACTCAAAAGGTCGAATGTGAATCGATCTTTTTATATTGACTACAAAGTTTGCGAAACCACTTTATTCGAATTGTTGGATCTTTTAACCTAAGTCATTTTGTGATTTAGAAGTACATTCCTAAGAATTCAACATAATTATTTAGCTCTTAATAAATCTAAACTCCTACCGCGAATTGATTACTTATAGAGATTACCAAAAATAATCTATAATTATATTAAATTTTGCAATTCTACGACTATAATTAATCTATAATTAAACTCTAATTATTTTAAATTTTCTAAACCTCCTTATTCTCTCTCTAATTTTCTATTTATTTTTCCTTTTCTTTTCCTCCCTTCTTTCTTTCTCTTTTCCCTCCCTTTCTTCTTTTTCTTTTTTCTCTTTTTTTTCTTTCTTTTTCCTCTCTTCTTTTCTCTCTCTCCCTCCCGGCTTCTTTCTCCCCGGGCGGCGACGGCGGCGGAACGAGGGAAGGGGCGGCGGCTTACCGACGGCGGTGGCGGCGACGGCGGCGCAAGGCGAGGCGACGCCTGGCGCGGCACACGGTGCGGCGCGGCGGCACCGAGGGCAGCGGCGCGGCGGCACGAAGGCGGCGGCGCGGCGGCACGAGGACGACGCTGCGGTGGAGAGGAAAAAGGGGAGGAAGAGGGAAATGGAGTGGGGAATAATGGAGAGGGGTGAAGGTATTTATAGGGAAGAGGGGAAAGAGAGAGAGAGAAGGAGGGGGGTGATGCGACGGCGGCGCGGGGCGCGAGGCGGCGAGGAGATGGGCGCGCGGCGACGAGACGGGCGACGCGACGGCAGGGCGGGGCTCGAGGCGGCAAGGAGACGGGCGCGCAGCGACGGGACGGGCGACGCGACGGCGGGGCGGGGCTCGAGGCGACGGCGGCACGCGCGGCGCGGCAGCGGGATGGCGACGGCGACGGCGCAGCGGCGGCGGCGCGCGGCTCGGAGCGACGACGGGACGCGACGGCGACGGTGCGCGGTGGCATGGGGCGCGAGGCGACGCGACGGGCGGCAGCGGCGCGGGGCGCGAGGCGATGGGACGGTGGCGCGGCGACGGGATGGCGACGGTGACGGCGCGGCAGCGGCGGTGACGGCGCGCGGCAGCGACGGAAGCGACGGCGACGGCGGCGCGGGGCTCGGGGCGGCCGGGCGCGCGCAACAGAGATGGGTTAGGGCTAGGGACTGTAATTGAACCCCTGGCGGCAGATGAATAGTGACTTTTCCTATTTTATCCCCATTTTAGCTTATTTCTTATATAAATTTGATTCTATGAATCCTAAATTTTGCATAAATGAAGTTTACTCCATATTTGTATTATTCCACCCAATGGATCCACTCTAGATTAATTTTACTCATATTTTATTTTTATATCATTTACTTGATTTTAATTAGAGTTAATCCTTATTCCATCGCGTTTAAATCTAATTGATACGAATATGGCCGAGATAATATTTTATTTATTTCTATCTTCACATAATCTTTATTTTTAGATTATAATTTAATTATTTCTTTAACCCATCTAGTTTTAGGGTTTATTCCTAATTAATTCTTCTTTATTCGCGATCTATGAACTCCGAAATCAAAATCCAATAAAATCATCGAACAAAATCGGCATGATGCAATTTATTCAAAAAGTTTTTGAAGACCCATATTTTTGGAGTTTTGATTTTTGTTGGTCAAATTTTCAGGGTGTTACACTTGGCTTGTTCCAAGTATGATTATAGGTAACCAGAGTATTGCTGGTTTTCTAATTCCTAGTATGCTCACTCTTGCAGAGGCTGGCTTTGTTAGAAGAATCACTTAAAAAGGTTGATACATCTGATCCCTTTGCTATATGTGGAATTATCGATCAATATTCGCAACAACCATCTCTGAAAGAAAAAAGTGCTCTGAATAGGTAAGCGTGCAATTGTCCAGACATTATCTATTCATGCATGTCGAGCTTATTCTGCTTCCTTTGTGTACCCTGTAAAAATGAGGTATCCTTGACAGGTGGGATATTCTGGTTCACACCAAGTTATCCTGTCGTATAAATTCTTTTGGCATGTTAAACTTAGATTGATTAATCTACAATTTTTAAGTTACTAATAGCTGCATAAAGTTCCATAGTTATAACATCCATATAAAGTTCATGCAGGAAACTCTCCTCAATTTGGGGCGTGTTTGACCTATTTATCTTCTCCAAACAACTTTCTTTTGGGTCCTCTCTACCACAAGCCCTAGATAGATAGACTAGTCCTTTTGAAATAATATTAGCTTGTAATGGAGGGCAGGTGGAGAAATGTAAGGAATTGGAATGGGGAAATGTAGGGAAGCAACAGCATGCACTTCCCACATCTTGTGTCTCCTTTCAATAGATGGATGGGCTTCAACTTATAAAAAAGCTTGGTAACGGTTGTCTGGCCTGGCTTTAAATAAGCCGTTCCCTATGCCCTAACCTGTTACTTGTGTGTTTTCTATATTCTCCTCATCTTTATGGTCAGTGGCTTCCCTATGCCACAATCTCGTTACCTTTAGATCATTTGAACTCATTTTATGTATTGCTTTTCTTAATCTGGTTTGAAGGCCAAGAAGGCTTATCTTTATGCATTGTAACTTGGAAGGACTTATTTTAGTTTGTCAAGGAGATTCCATTTGTTCCTATTTTATTGCAAGGTTTTGTTTTCTCATTTCATTCTCAGATCAACTTTTATTGCCTAATCCATGTCTGCTACTTCCATCATTTTGATTCCAGGCTGGAAATCATCAACAAATGCTTTTCCAAAAGAACAGTAGAAGAAATCATAGCCTCTCTTGTGAGTTATGCTAAGTCTTTGCTTTCTATAGACTCACCAGTTCTGTTGTGCTAAATTTGATGTGTATCATGTTAGGAACAAGAGGCTCCAAATGTTGCTGATGAATGGGTTGCTTCTGCAATCCAGTCCCTGAGGAAGGCTTCTCCTACTAGTCTGAAAATATCCCTGAGATCGGTATCCTCTCAAACATTTCCAAAGCATATGTCTTTATGTTACTCGAGTCATTCTATCTTGGTGCCTTCTTATGCAAATTATTGTAGTGTAAGGCATTACTATTTATTTAGACCCATCAATCCTTTATATGGTTTCATATGACCAGTATTTATCTTTCTCAAGTGCATACTTCATATGGCTTTATGAACTGAACCCTACTCCTTTGTGTTGGCACAACAGATCTGCCCTATAGCTAAAAAAAACAAACCTTCTAGGCTTAGAGCTTTTGCATAGTCAAATTGCAAGTATGGGCATACCAGTTCTAAAAGCTTTGGAAATGTCTTTGGAACTAGTCGTCGGAGGGAAAACAAGGATTGTTCACTCCACAGAAGAGTACGTGTACTAGAAAAGGCAGCCACTTAAAAACGCCAACTACTTTTTTTAAGCCTTATTTAGTTTGGTTGCCTACGCTTGATCTCTGGCGTGCTATGGCAACACCCCCTGCTTGCTTCTTTCTGCTCGACATGGAGCTTGCAGCCTCCCCACCCTTGCTTACAACCTATTCTTAATAGAACCGATCTGATTTTCACTACAAGAGGAATTTCGTGCTTCTGCCGGATCCTCCCTATCTCCTGATCGAGCTTGTGTATGTAAATATTGCTTAGTAGGGCCCATAGTAGTACACTGTTTGGGACAGAGTCAGTGCCCTTCTCACATCCCTACGAGTCGTCCAGCAGAAACTGTTTGTTTAGTTGTATGTACAACTAGCAGAACAAAGCAGTTAGATGGTTCACTTTGTATAACCACTACAATTTTGACATAAATTAGTGTTATGGTTAATTTCTAGCCTTTTAAAATCTTGTGACCTATCCTTTGGGAGTTCCGATCTTTTTCGCCAGGCCGACGGCGAAGGAAGCCCCAACCAATTTTATTAAGATCAAGAGGAGTAACGTACTATTTACAACAAACATGGCTGTTTAGGGATTACCCTAACACAGGAACACAAGTACTGTTTACAACAAACATGGTTGTTTAGGGATCACCCTAACACAGGAACACAATTTAAAAGCTCAGGGCAGGCCCTGAGTCAGGGAGAGACACAGAACTGGTTGCTGGCACAACAGGGCAGCCCTCTATCAGCGCCAAGGCACATCACACGCTTCAGTGATCAACATTCCTCCCAAACCTGCATCACGCTAAGTCCATTCTTCTATGATGCAGCCGACTTACCTCAGAGGCTGATTTGCTGACACCGTCAAACACCCGAGCGTTCTGTTCTTTCCACATCATCCAAGAGATTAGAGTTACCACTATGTCAAATGGGAGTTCCAATCTCACCATGAGCTTCGAGGTGTCAAACCTCCAGCTATCACTACCTACTAAAGTGGAGCTTAGTCTCTAGGAAAAGTTTGTTTTGCCCCTAACATTCAGTAGGAAAGGTCTTTGTTTTACTGCAGTATACGTAGTTTGTGAGACGCTAGCCATCTGTGCCCATTTATGTTCTTAGCTTTCTGTATTTACTGTGGGTTCAGATAAGAGAAGGGCGAACACAAACTGTTGGTGAATGCTTACGTCGAGAATATAGGATGGTTTGCCATGTGATGCGTGGTGACTTCAGTAGAGACTTCTTTGAGGTAAATATCTATCTACATCTCCCAATGACATGTTCACTCAAGATGAACATACTTTGAACTATTCAATTCCTGTTGCAGGGATGCAGGGCTATATTGTTGGATAAAGATCGAAACCCAAAGGTCAGCTTGTTAATCTTGTTTGTCAGAAAATTCGTTCTCCACATGTTGTCTAATCTGGCATGGGCATAGCATTAAATCTAATCCTGACATCTTTGCTAATTGCAGTGGATGCCTCCAAGGTTGGAAGAGGTGCACGACGAGGTGGTGGAAAAATATTTTTCCAAAGTCGATGATCCAGAGTGGGAAGATTTGGACCTACCTCCTAGACGTTCCCATGGAAGGAGGCTTGTTCCCAAGCTTTGATTCAATGAAAAGCCTCTTGTGAAAAACTGAAGCCTTTGTTGGTGCTTCTGAATAACAGACAGATCGTCCCCAGTTTGAGGGATACATGGAGACAAGCGATGAAGTTTATTTATAATAAAGCTGAAACATATTATAGGTTAACAATTTTATTAGCAAATTAGAGAAGTCCCTCTCATAGTCTCATGCGATGCTTATATTGGTATCGCTATTGTGCTTTTTTCAAGGTGTGAAGGTACGCTTCAAGCTAAAGCCCAGCTGCATTCAAACGGCGGCCCATATGATACTGCTATCAGGCCATCCTATTGGGCTTTGAAGCTACCTTCTGCTTGTAGATTCCAGGTAATCTTTTATATATTGTATAAAAGAAATTCACAATTTCATAAGTTTGCACCGTGTTGTTTTTTATAGTAAGGCTTCGAAAAGGTTGTAAGATCCCTAGTATCGTGTGAGTCTTGTAATGCACTTGAACTGACGGCATTTCGTTGATGAAATGGGAGAGGTCCACTCTCTTTGTCAAAACTAAATCAGTAAATCATAAGTTCCCTTTCAAACACTTGCGGAAATAGCAATATAACATCCCCACGTTACGCAAAATTTTTTTTAGAGAAATCGTAAAAGCTAAGACAAGAAACGAGTAGCCATAAACAGAATCCAAAATCGTTTGCCTTGGCTTCATCGAACAATCTAAATTTCAGAGCCTTCAGCTACTGAAGAAAAAGATAAAGACAGTCGTAGTAGCAAGCAACAGCATGCCACAGTACAGTAGTAAATTTTGGTCTCCATCGTACCCAGCCGAGGGAAGCCATCGCTTTCGCTGGCTGCTTTTAACCACACCGTAGCAGCCACTCATTTTTTTTCCTCTACCTATAAATACAGCACACTTCACATTTTCTAGCTTAATATTGTAATGGTATCATAATTAAGTATGCTTCTACAGAAATAGTCAAGTTCACGAGCATATGGAAAAAGTCTTGTGTCTCTTTGGCGTGTATGTAGCCACGTCAAAGATGAAGGTCTTCCTTTTGTTTTATCACTGTCTTCACCCCGGACATATTCTTCTTTTATCTTCTCTTTTTCACTGTGTGTGGTTCAGTTTTTCCTTCCTTTAGCTCCATATTTTAATTTGATGATTCTTTTGCCTTGACCATATGAATTACTTGGCCATGCATCATCCATCACATGCTTAGTCGTACTGATAGATCTCAACACACGTTTGAGATTGAACCATGTATAGTTGAGAGCCTAATTAATCCTGCTTAATTACCCTATATACTAACTGCGACCATATATATGACCGGTGAATTGGCATGTACTTGTACCGAACTGATTAATTTTAAGTTTTAGGACAGGAAGAGGCAGGCCCAACCACTAGCTGGACCAGCATGCATGCACCTAATTCAGTTAAACACACTTGTATACAGGCATGGCCTCCTCTTCACCAAAAACTTCTCTGATATTTCCTTTTCAGCGTTTGGTCCTAGCTTCACCGTTGATGTCCCTCTCATTTATCACCGGTACTGGTTATGCACAGTAGTAGTAGCTTGTATTTTGTGCACCAACTTACTAGAAAAATTACACAATCTTTTTTTTATTACACGACGAACGCACACGAACACACATGCAACATCACCTCACACTCTGCATATGTGCCCCTAATATATTCTCCAAGAGACGCATATCTGATCTCACTAAAATTTTGTTGAAAGTCCACCCGCATATGCGTAATATTCGTGGACACTAGAATTTAAATCCTGGTGGATGAAGTCATGCACTCGTAACTCCACTACTATACCACTAAGGCTCTGTGCGTTCTGGGGAGATAGAGGAGATTGTGTCTCGTTTTACGCGCGCACGCTTTTCAAACTACTAAACGGTGTATTTTTTGCAAAAAAAAATTCTATATGAAAGTTGCTTTAAAAAATCATATTAATCCATTTTTGAAATTTAAAATAGTTAATAATCAATTAATCATGAGCTAATGGCTCACCTCGTTTTGCGTATCTTCCCAATCTCCTCAAACACACCCTAAGTGATTCGAAAAAAAAAGAGGCAATTTGCTTCTATATACATGCCAAAATATGTGTGCACACCCGTGTATAAACAATACAGTGCCAATTAATACTCTGTAAGATTAAGGCTGAGTTTGTTTATGCTGATGACAACTCTCTTGTTTTCCGATAACACGTTTTCCAACTGATAAAATGATATATTTTATTTAAAAAAATATGTACAGTTATTTTTAAAAATCAAATAAATTCATTTTAAGTTTGTAATTATTAATAATTGATTAATCATGCGTCGGGGATTGAAATTTTGTTTCAAAATTTCCGAAATTTCGGAACACCCCCCCCCCCGCCAAGTCAATATCTCAGACATTTCCAGTTTTTCTCATTTTTTTTGTGAATTTAGTTTAAATTCAATTAAATTCAGTTAAATTGTGTTGAAATTTCGGTTATACCGAAATGACATAAATCGAAATTGAAAACCCTATCATGCACTAATAATTAATTCTTGTTTTTCAAGCCGCCAATAGCTCCAGCCCAACAGCCCAAGCGAACCCAGCCTCTCTAAGAGCAAGGTCAATAGTATAGCCAACTACTGGCTCCAAAACATCTATAGCCAATCTAATAGTTCATTCATACAATAGTTAACTATAAAAATATACTACACCATTAATATTCGGTCCTACCTCTCATACACACATAACAGCTTGGAGTCCGTGTTGCAGCCGGCTACAAATCTGTAGCCCGCTTTCTTCTCTCTCTTCTCTTTTCTTCTCGATATATGGTTATAGCCGGCTTATAGCATGCTATTGTACCTGCTCTAAGAGAGAGCTTTTATGAGGCTATTATACTTTCAGAGTGACTCAATGACTCATCTCATTCGAATATATACGGAGCTAATTAAGTTGTCAGCTAACTGCCCGTGTCATCATTTATTACTTCAATGATCTAACAGGTCCAAACGTCATGGTCTGATAAATTCTTTAGGACTTGTGTTAGAACAAGAGTAAAGTTTTGATACTTGAGAGCGTAACCTAACCGGAACCAACGTTTTAAATTTCCCTCAAATTTTTATGATCACTGGCTCTGGTTGGAAATGATCCAACGAGAGGCGTACTTTTAATTATTGTCTATGCTATACTATTACTACCTCCATCCCAAAATGTTTGACGCCGTTGATTTTTTTAAAAATGTTTGACCGTTCGTCTTATTCAAAAAATTTAAGTAATTATTAATTTTTTTTCTATCATTTGATTTATTGTTAAATATACTTTTATGTATACATATAGTTTTACACATATCACAAAAGTTTTTGAATAAAACGAACGGTCAAACATGTTTAAAAAAGTCAACAGTGTCAAACATTTAGGGAAGTAGGGAGTATATGCTAAGTATTTTCGTTTGTTGCAAGTACTAATTAATTATAGTTTCATCAAAGATATAATTAGATATATAGGACCTGTCTCCGTCATCCGTCGACCCTAGTTTCGAGTTTAATTTAATGTTAAATTGCACATACTAGTATACTACCAACTAGCTAGTTCATCCTCTAATAAACTTTGTGCAAAGAGGAAAGATGGCAGCTCACTGCTTGCGCTTGAGAAGCAACTAGATTCCAGAGAGCTTTAACGAAATCTCTTGGGGTTTGCAGAGAAAAGTGCATGTGGACATACATGTGGCTGTTTTGCACGGAGGATGCAGGGCAAGTAATGAAGAAATTAAACATAGCTAATCAATTAAGCTAGCTCATCTGCCTTTCACGCTTGTAGATCTTGTGATATTGGAGTCCGGCTGGGAGACAATGTTGACAACGTCCGTGCACTGCAACTCTCTTTGATTGCTGATGACTATTGGTACTGGCCTGTGTAGTCCTACATTTATCCTAGCAGTGACTGCTACTGCTAGCTCCCTGCAACTGTCCTACTGTTTGCCAAAAGGAAAATTTCGCATTGATTGATAATATACTCTCACCGACTCATCACCATCCCATAATATAGTCATTTATCCCGAAATATAACTACTACTACTAACATACTTCTCCATGTACTTAATCATAACTACATATATCTTATTTAATTTATTTGTTTACTTACTCATCTCAACAAATTATACATAGTCTGTTATTTAATTTTATTGAAAAATTTTAGAGGAGGTTATATTTTGAGACAGGTGAAGTAGTTTTGCAGTACTGCTGTACTAGCAGGAATAGCTAATGCCATATTGGTACCAGTTTTTACGAGAAGCAGTACTTGCCAGGAGAAGTGATGATTAATTAGTGGAGTTACTGTGACTAATGGCCGTTCAAGATCGATCCAGTCAATTCATGATAGTAATAATAATTTAGCTAGGTCCCCCCTACATGGATACTCGATCGATCGATCACTGCGTAAATTAATTAATTAGTAGAGAGAAGATCCTGCGAGCACGTACGTAGAAGAGTTTTAACCAGTTAACTACTGAGTTTTGTTTGTGTGGTGTTAAAGTGCTAATTAGTCAAAGTCTCGCTGGCTTGCCATAATGCATCGATGCATGTGGGTCGCGTGTTTGGCCAATCAGGAGCTGCGAATGACGTGGCATTATATATATACATATATAGTACAATACGTTCTAGATAATGATACGGTCTCCAAAATACATATTTGACTATATTTTTTATTATAATATGTACAATATATATACCTTTTTATTTTTATTATAGTATTTTGTAAGATAAATCTATACTCCAAACTAAATATATTTAAAGTTATTGATAACCATAGTTATAAATATTTACCTTAAACTTATTCGAAATGTCGAGAATTATATATGATATTGCTGGGAGTACTCCAGTATAAGCCAAGTCAGCCGACATCCATATTCTATAGCCTCTGCTTTTGCTGACCTGTCACCATTTTGTTTTTTCTTTAGTTTATTATCGATACAATGCCGGTCTTAAATATTAATTAATTATGCCCAGCCATCGTTTTCTACAAAGAATGTAGTAATAAGAATAGTAATAAATGCATGTACAGTACTTGGGGTGAAATTAAACAATTGTCATGCATGGATTCGGTTTGTCGTTTGATAGCTAGTTTTATGCTGGGCTAGAGGTAGATAGCTGCTGCACTTGTTCTTCGTCGAATCTTCGTAGTGAAACCAGTCCATCGGACTTGAAATCATAAATCTTGATAGGGGTACTCACGTTTAATTATTCTTTCAGTGACAGGACATCGCCAGCGAGACGCTAGTGGTGACTTCGTGAATCTAAAAATTTGCCGCGTTGTGACTTCGTGAATCTCAAAATATATCGACCCAGCCTTTCGGAAGCATTAATATAGGAGTGATGTGTACATGTGTATGTTCACGTAGAAATGAGGTGTACATGTGTACGTTCGCGGGTGAATGTGCGTGTTATGAGTATATGTATTTGTAAAATGTTTTTTTAATATA